AACACAGCAGCATGAAACACAGGAACATGAAACACAGCAGCATGAAACACAGGAACATGAAACACAGGAACATGAAACACAGCAACATGAAACACAGCAGCATGAAACACAGGAACATGAAACACAGGAACATGAAACACAGGAACATGAAACACAGCAGCATGAAACACAGGAACATGAAACACAGGAACATGAAACACAGCAACATGAAACACAGCAGCATGAAACACAGCAACATGAACACAGCAGCATGAAACACAGCAGCATGAAACACAGCAACATGAAACACAGCAACATGAAACACAGGAACATGAAACACAGCAGCATGAAACACAGCAACATGAAACACAGCAGCATGAAACACAGGAACATGAAACACAGCAACATGAAACACAGGAACATGAAACACAGCAGCATGAAACACAGGAACATGAAACACAGCAGCATGAAACACAGGAACATGAAACACAGCAGCATGAAACACAGGAACATGAAACACAGGAACATGAAACACAGCAACATGAAACACAGCAACATGAAACACAGGAACATGAAACACAGGAACATGAAACACAGCAACATGAAACACAGCAGCATGAAACACAGGAACATGAAACACAGGAACATGAAACACAGCAGCATGAAACACAGGAACATGAAACACAGGAACATGAAACACAGCAACATGAAACACAGCAGCATGAAACACAGCAGCATGAAACACAGGAACATGAAACACAGCAACATGAAACACAGCAGCATGAAACACAGCAGCATGAAACACAGGAACATGAAACACAGGAACATGAAACACAGCAGCATGAAACACAGGAACATGAAACACAGCAACATGAAACACAGGAACATGAAACACAGCAACATGAAACACAGCAGCATGAAACACAGGAACATGAAACACAGGAACATGAAACACAGCAGCATGAAACACAGGAACATGAAACACAGCAGCATGAAACACAGCAGCATGAAACACAGGAACATGAAACACAGGAACATGAAACACAGCAACATGAAACACAGCAGCATGAAACACAGCAGCATGAAACACAGCAGCATGAAACACAGGAACATGAAACACAGGAACATGAAACACAGGAACATGAAACACAGGAACATGAAACACAGCAGCATGAAACACAGGAACATGAAACACAGCAGCATGAAACACAGGAACATGAAACACAGCAGCATGAAACACAGCAGCATGAAACACAGCAACATGAAACACAGAAACATGAAACACAGCAGCATGAAACACAGCAACATGAAACACAGCAGCATGAAACACAGGAACATGAAACACAGCAACATGAAACACAGCAACATGAAACACAGCAACATGAAACACAGCAACATGAAACACAGCAGCATGAAACACAGGAACATGAAACACAGCAACATGAAACACAGCAACATGAAACACAGGAACATGAAACACAGCAACATGAAACACAGCAGCATGAAACACAGGAACATGAAACACAGCAACATGAAACACAGCAACATGAAACACAGGAACATGAAACACAGGAACATGAAACACAGGAACATGAAACACAGCAACATGAACACAGCAACATGAAACACAGCAGCATGAAAACACAGGAACATGAAACACAGACATGAACACAGCAACATGAAACACAGCACATGAAACACAGGAACATGAAACACAGCAACATGAAACACAGGAACATGAAACACAGCAACATGAAACACAGGAACATGAAACACAGCAACATGAAACACAGCAACATGAAACACAGCAGCATGAAACACAGCAACATGAAACACAGCAACATGAAACACAGGAACATGAAACACAGCAACATGAAACACAGCAACATGAAACACAGCAACATGAAACACAGCAACATGAAACACAGCAACATGAAACACAGCAGCATGAAACACAGCAACATGAAACACAGCAACATGAAACACAGGAACATGAAACACAGCAACATGAAACACAGCAACATGAAACACAGCAACATGAAACACAGCAACATGAAACACAGCAGCATGAAACACAGGAACATGAAACACAGCAACATGAAACACAGCAGCATGAAACACAGGAACATGAAACACAGCAACATGAAACACAGCAACATGAAACACAGCAGCATGAAACACAGCAACATGAAACACAGCAGCATGAAACACAGGAACATGAAACACAGGAACATGAAACACAGCAACATGAAACACAGCAACATGAAACACAGCAACATGAAACACAGGAACATGAAACACAGCAACATGAAACACAGCAACATGAAACACAGCAGCATGAAACACAGCAACATGAAACACAGCAGCATGAAACACAGGAACATGAAACACAGCAACATGAAACACAGCAACATGAAACACAGCAACATGAAACACAGCAACATGAAACACAGCAACATGAAACACAGCAGCATGAAACACAGGAACATGAAACACAGCAACATGAAACACAGCAGCATGAAACACAGCAGCATGAAACACAGGAACATGAAACACAGCAACATGAAACACAGGAACATGAAACACAGGAACATGAAACACAGCAGCATGAAACACAGCAGCATGAAACACAGGAACATGAAACACAGGAACATGAAACACAGCAACATGAAACACAGCAGCATGAAACACAGCAACATGAAACACAGCAGCATGAAACACAGGAACATGAAACACAGGAACATGAAACACAGGAACATGAAACACAGCAACATGAAACACAGGAACATGAAACACAGCAACATGAAACACAGGAACATGAAACACAGGAACATGAAACACAGCAGCATGAAACACAGGAACATGAAACACAGCAGCATGAAACACAGCAACATGAAACACAGGAACATGAAACACAGGAACATGAAACACAGCAGCATGAAACACAGCAGCATGAAACACAGGAACATGAAACACAGGAACATGAAACACAGCAGCATGAAACACAAGAACATGAAACACAGGAACATGAAACGCAGGAACATGAAACACAGGAACATGAAACACAGCAGCATGAAACACAGCAACATGAAACACAGGAACATGAAACACAGAAACATGAAACACAGCAGCATGAAACACAGGAACATGAAACACAGCAGCATGAAACACAGCAACATGAAACACAGCAGCATGAAACACAGCAGCATGAAACACAGCAACATGAAACACAGCAGCATGAAACACAGGAACATGAAACACAGCAACATGAAACACAGGAACATGAAACACAGGAACATGAAACACAGCAGCATGAAACACAGCAGCATGAAACACAGGAACATGAAACACAGGAACATGAAACACAGCAACATGAAACACAGCAGCATGAAACACAGCAACATGAAACACAGCAGCATGAAACACAGGAACATGAAACACAGGAACATGAAACACAGGAACATGAAACACAGCAACATGAAACACAGGAACATGAAACACAGGAACATGAAACACAGCAGCATGAAACACAGGAACATGAAACACAGCAGCATGAAACACAGCAACATGAAACACAGGAACATGAAACACAGGAACATGAAACACAGCAGCATGAAACACAGCAGCATGAAACACAGGAACATGAAACACAGGAACATGAAACACAGCAGCATGAAACACAAGAACATGAAACACAGGAACATGAAACGCAGGAACATGAAACACAGGAACATGAAACACAGGAACATGAAACACAGCAACATGAAACACAGCAGCATGAAACACAGCAACATGAAACACAGGAACATGAAACACAGAAACATGAAACACAGCAGCATGAAACACAGGAACATGAAACACAGCAGCATGAAACACAGCAACATGAAACACAGCAGCATGAAACACAGCAGCATGAAACACAGGAACATGAAACACAGCAGCATGAAACACAAGAACATGAAACACAGGAACATGAAACACAGGAACATGAAACACAGGAACATGAAACACAGCAACATGAAACACAGGAACATGAAACACAGCAGCATGAAACACAAGAACATGAAACACAGGAACATGAAACACAGGAACATGAAACACAGCAACATGAAACACAGGAACATGAAACACAGCAGCATGAAACACAGCAGCATGAAACACAGGAACATGAAACACAGCAGCATGAAACACAGCAACATGAAACACAGCAACATGAAACACAGCAGCATGAAACACAAGAACATGAAACACAGGAACATGAAACACAGGAACATGAAACACAGGAACATGAAACACAGCAACATGAAACACAGCAGCATGAAACACAGGAACATGAAACACAGCAGCATGAAACACAAGAACATGAAACACAGGAACATGAAACACAGGAACATGAAACACAGGAACATGAAACACAGGAACATGAAACGCAGGAACATGAAACACAGGAACATGAAACACAGGAACATGAAACACAGCAGCATGAAACACAGCAGCATGAAACACAGCAGCATGAAACACAGCAACATGAAACGCAGGAACATGAAACACAGGAACATGAAACACAGCAACATGAAACACAGGAACATGAAACACAGCAGCATGAAACACAGCAACATGAAACACAGGAACATGAAACACAGGAACATGAAACACAGCAACATGAAACACAGGAACATGAAACACAGCAGCATGAAACACAGGAACATGAAACACAGCAGCATGAAACACAGGAACATGAAACACAGCAGCATGAAACACAGGAACATGAAACGCAGGAACATGAAACACAGGAACATGAAACACAGGAACATGAAACACAGCAGCATGAAACACAGGAACATGAAAACACAGCAGCATGAAACACAGGAACATGAAACACAGGAACATGAAACGCAGCAGCATGAAACGCAGCAGCAGCCGCATTAGCGAGGCAGCAGCAAGTGAACGCAGCAGCAGCAGCATTAGCGAGGCAGCAGCAAGTGAACGCAGCAGCATTAGCGAGGCAGCAGCAAGTGAATGCAGCAGCAGCAGCATTAGCGAGGCAGGCAGCTTAAATAGAGCGGCATGTTTAGGAGAATGTGTTAGGTTGGGTGTAAGAGGGACGAGCGCGTCACGTGTTAATGTATCATTGGTGCTCGAGTTGACTGCCTGAACTAGCTTGCAGGCTTCACCCCATATTATAGATATTTTCATTCTACTAAACTGACTTCATGGTGTCTTTTTCTTCTTTACCTGGAACACCGAGTGCAAGTACATCTGACATCAACGAAGACGGTGGCTTCTGGAGATCCTGAAGAACTTACGGTACTATACTATGACCATTTCTGATGTTTTTGACATACTACACTATGTAATTTTTTCTGATATTTTCGACATACTGACTTCATGGTGTCTTTTCTTCTTTTCTCCTCACAGGACTGCGAGGACATTCATCTGACATCAATGAAGACGGTGGCTTCTGGAGTTTCTGAAGAACTTACGGTACTATACTTTGACTTTTTAGGATATTTTCGACGATGTCTTCTTTATGCATTTTTCCGACATTGGTTAGGGTTAGGGTTATGACTTTTTGTAATTTTGTTCAACATGCTATATTATTAATTACTTACATACTATACTACGCCTTGTTTCTACGCACTGAACCGTGCCTTATTTCCACGTTAAATACAATGTTTTCTCTGACATTGGTTAGGGTTAGGGTTATGACTTCTTTGTCATTTTTTTCAACATGCTATATTATGACTTTTCGGTCACTTTTAACTAAATAAAATACCAGGCCTGGTATCCACACACTATACCGTGCCTTATTATGGCATCGAATAATTAATTTTATTTTTTTGTTGCATTTTTTTTTTAAATCGACATACTATACTATGTCGTTTCTAATTTTTTGAATTTTTTAGAAATGCTATATTATTACTTTTCTGTCATCGTTATCAACATACTATACTACGCCTTGTTTCTACGCATTAAACCGTGCCTTATTTCCACATAAAATACGATGTTTTCATGGGTTAGGGTTAGCTATACTGACTTCATGGTGTCTTTTTCTTCTTTTCGTCCCACAGAGTGAAGAGACGATCCCCCCCCCCCCCCCCCCCCCCGCCACGCCATCAATTAAGACCCCGGCTGCCTATGTTTCTGAAAAACTTGTGGACGTTTTCAGCCTTGGGGAAGTATAGCAGACTTAGCAGCCTTAGGGACGTATAGCAGACTTAACAGACTATCGATGTGGCTGCAGTGAGAGCCCACAGCCACTTAGCAGACTTAGCCGACTTGGGGCGGTGGCTGGGGTGCCGAGCGGCCCCCCCCAGCCACGTCAGCCCCCCCGACTTAGCAGACTTAGCAGGCCTACAGACTTAGCAGACTATCGGCAGTGACTGCAGGGCCCTGCACAGGAGTGCAGTGAGAGCCGGCAGCCACCTATCGGCCGCTTATTAGACTTAGCAGACTTGGGGACGTTTAGCAGACTTGGGGACGTTTAGCAGACTTGGGGAAAAGGCTGCACTGCTATGTATGAATAAATGTAAATAAAGCAAACGTTTCTTAAAATACATTTGTCTCCTTTCTTCATTTCCCATTCTTAAGATAGTATCCTATTCACTACTCTCTTACTTCCTAACCCTCCTTTCTTCTATTCCCTTAATTAGCATCCTATTAACGTTATCCTATTAACCAATTCACCCTGTTAACGTATTCATTACCCCTTTATCCATCTACTCTCTGCAACGTATAAGGCTCGAACCTGCAACCTCTGGTCTACCAACCACCCTTCTATCTCCTTGAGCTATGAGACCTGATGACAGTTCTAAGCTTTTTCTTGTATTTTACTTCTTAGGTTTGAAGAAGACACCTTAAATCTCTGCAACATATAAGGCTCGAACCTGCAACCTTTGGTCAACCAAGCACCCTTCTATCTCCTTGAGCTATGAGACCTGATGACATGTCTCTGCTTTTACTTGTATTTGACTTCTTCATCAAGGGAAAGACACATTAAAACTCTGCATGGCACAAGACTCAAACTCACTACCTGGGATCTTTAAACTCAGTGGACCGCCCGAGGTTTGAACTCACGTTCTCTGGTCTCCAAGACGGGTTCTTATCACAGTGAGCCATTCGGTGTGACACAGTTAGATGTTCCCTGGCCTATGTGAGCTTTTCACCTCAGGTTTGGACCTTAAAATACACAGCCCAAGTACCTGTTAGTGAATGATACATAGTTTATTCTCGGTTTAACCTCGAAAGTGTGTGAGACAAAATAGCTTAGAGGTTAGAGTCAAAGACTGTAGCTCCATGACCTAACTATGAAACTGGGTTCAAAACACATTTATTTGATTTTGTTATTGAATAGGCCCACCACAAACCAAGTCCGTTCTGACCTCTAAAATACGTAAGTACACGTGGACGATTTAAAGTGTGCAGTAGTGTAGGAACTCCGCGGTCATCTTGGGAAAAAGAAAAGGACAACATAAGAATGAGACATAAAAAAATCTGTTCTACAAAACTTTTAAAAGTCATAGTATATTCTGTTAAAAATAAAGCTTTAGTAGTTTGTTTAAAATATGTAAAAAGTCATCGTATAACATGTCTAAACTGTGATTTAAAAAAAAAATGTACGTACTATTGGTGACTTTATTAATTATTATTTTTGGTTACATAGTTTAGTATGACTTCTTTAATAACAAACAATTACTTTTTTCCACTCGTCTCTAGAAAATAAAGACGTCATTTTGAACATTACTGGTGACTGTTGACATTTTGATCAAATCAAACTTCTGAGATTCATCATCTGCCTACAGTTATATGAATATCATGCAAACCTTGTAGGCAATTGTATCACAATAAAATAACAATATGCTGACAGCAGTTGTAGCCAGTGGTGGAAAGTACTGTACTTAAGTACAATTTTGAGGTACTTAACCTGTAGTTATGCTACTGTATGGAATGTTGGAAGCCAGTAATGTAATTTTAATGTGACTAGTTTTATTTAAGGTTTAGATTATTAGCTAGTGATAACAAACTTTTGAAATTCAGTATTGATACTTTTACTTAAAGGGGACCTATAATGTACTTTTGTACGTCTTTTATACATGAATATGTGTCCCCGGTGTTCCAGGGAACTCACCAAGTGTCAGAAAACACAACCCTCTATTTTTCTCCATACCCAAATCTCAAAAAAAGGGGCTGCAACGGATCTGATACAGACTGATCCAGATTTGAACACTTTACTTACGTCAGTAAAGTGGCGCTACGGCTATTGGTCAATTCTCCACCTATCAGGGGAATGAGAGGTTGGGCCACGGCCGGCCATTGCTGCTCGAAAGCGCTGGAGACGCTGTAGTACATATGCCAGGCCTGTAAGTGGCGCTGTAGTCTGCCACAAAAGCAGCGAAGAAGACTTCCCTTGCATGGTTGCCATGGTTGCCCTTCTGTTTATTCTCCGCTGTGGCTCTTTTTCTCCCTCCCCGAGGCAAGCTTTTGCGCCTCCTGCTTTAAAACAAACGCGGTCATTATGGGGAAAAGAACACCGACAGGCTGATCAGGAGCCCGACGCGAAGCGGAGGGATCTAGATCGGTATGAAGGCACATTACGCAATGTCCACATGGCCACATTCTCGACAAAGTAACGACATGACTCCCAATATTAATTGAAATGCTTTTATGGATTTAGAAAATGATTGAATGAAATGAAAAATGAAAAAAATGGTTGTATGTATTGATTTAAATTGACATGCATCCGCTAAGAAAAATAGTCCGTTGTTACTGTTTGAACTAACGTAGCAACTGCAGGAACTGCTTCGATAGTGTTTTTGAGGAGCTTTTTGATTACAGATTTGAAAACATCGTTGCTTGCTTTAAAAGTAGCACAATCTAGATATCCCTACCCTAATGCCAAAGTAACTGGCAACTGAATATGTGTCGCCGTTTGATGTCTATGACTGGACCACTGTGTAAAAAGGAGGGTTTCTGCCCCATTACTTCTCTTCTTACTTCTATAAGAATAAAACATGGTGGACAAGATCTCTTTTTCTCCCCCTCTTCTCCCCGCTGCAGCCCAGCAGCTGATCTCAGAGCACGCTCCCCTCTCCTGCGGGGGGGCGTGGTCAGCTGCAGCTCACAGAATCAGCCCCCTGCAAAAACAGCGCTGGAAAGAGCAAATAGAGCGAAATGAGGCATGGCTAAAATGCAGGATCTTTTTGGTATTTTGAAAAAAAAACTATATTTATATACTTTATATATGTATGGCCCTACAATATATTGTTCAAATATAGCATGATAGGTGTCCTTTAAGTAACACATCTGAGTACTTCTTCCACCACTGAACAAAAGCGATCTAAAAGTTACTACTGACAACAACAAGCTTTAATTATGACGCCAGTGTATAGTGTATCACTCTGAACTAAGTAGTGACACTCTAGCAAGTTCCTGTCATCAGGGGGAAAATGTTTTGTATAAGTGGAGACTAAAAAGTCTAAAAAGTTAGTTCTGGCCATAATGGGGACCTTTATCTAAAAAAAATTACCATATTATTTTAACCATGTTAAAAGAAAAGACACCTGATCGCAGCTGACTGAAATGACTTGCTTTATTGTGAATCTGTAATGCACCTGTGTGAAACTCTTTAGCACAACTCTTCAATCAATCCTTATCCATCACTAAAAGATGAAACCTCTGTTGTCTATATTTCATGTCCACTGATACACAAAAGTACATGAGGACAATGTGAAAAAAAGTCCTCAGTTGACGTGAAGTCTAGGAAGCTCCACTCTTGGGTTGGAATCTCTGCACTCACCTTGGGAAGCAAAGAGAAGAAGGATGACGTAAGTATAAGACTTAAAGTCATAGGAATAATATAGTATGTCGAAAATATGAGAAAAAAACTGCTGAGATACAGATGAACTGAATATTTTGAAATCAAACTGTATTAATAGCCCCTTCAAATCAAAAAGGCCTCACGAAACCCAGGCTGGAAACAAGTGGCTTAAACCATCCAAACATATGTCTTAAAAAAATAATTAAGATCCTAAACCTAGAGAAATATATTTTTAAGATCATAGGCTTGAGTGGTGAGTATGTGTGTGGTCAGAGTAAAACACACACCTCTGTGTTTATGTGCTGCTGGCAGTGAGAGCGTCTCGCAGAGTTTCTATGAAGCGATGAACGTCGGTGAAGGAGTTGTAGAGCGGCACCGGAGCGATCCGCAGCACGCTGGGCTCCCTCATGTCACACTGAACAAAGACAAACATTAGAAACTCTTGATGCAGATTACTCCCAGATTCAAACTGATGTTGTGGATTTTTCCAGTACAAAAACACTCACGGCGACTCCCCTCTTCTCCATCTCCTGGAAGACGGTGCTGATGGGGACGGAGAAGCAGAGCGACAGCTGGCAGCCCCTCTGCTGCGGGTCGGAGGGTGTGATGATGCGCACGTGAGCTTTGTGCGGCTGGGAGGCGTCCTCGCGGAAATAATGCAGGATCAGAAACTCCAGGTACCCCGTCAGGAGGAGGGACTTCCTGCGCAGCTCCTGCATGCTCGTCATGTTGAACACCTGGAGAAAAGGGGAAATTATGACCAGGCTAATCACTTCTCAAGAAGACTATTATATCAGCTGATGTTCCTACTGTTGACATGCAGTCAAATAGTTACGTTTTGGTGCTTTTTACAGGACAATGACAATGTAACGTCAACAATGAAGAAATAAAAAATGGAGAGCATATTTTTGTCAAGTTATAATACCTCCAGGCTGGCCTGCAGGGGGCACACCAGCAGGATGGGCTGGTTGGAGAGTCTGAAGCCGCTCACACCGGGCTGCAGGTCCAACACTGAAGACACAAACACAGTCACAGTACAAATACAGTGGGTTGAGACGGTTAAGAAAAACTAAAATGTGTATTTTTTTACATTAATAGTTATTATGGATAGAGAGCCAAAAGGGTATTGTAGATGTAACACCCAAAGGGATCACAAGATGGCAGCATACAACCATTTTAAAATCACTTCCCTGACATGAAAGGTTGATTGGAAGTTTGTATGTATTTTATTTACCGTTATTCATCCGGAAGCGAGTTTTCAGGTCATGTCCCCACCAGCCCACCAGCCTGCAGGACACGGGACAGAAGAAGAAAAGGAAGTTAAAAGGACATTTGTAGTCTTTTTTATAATGTTATGGTTCTCCTTGAAGTTGCTTGATATGCAATTTAACAAAGAATGATTGAAATCACATCGTCGGAGGTGTCAGGACTCACGCAGGCTTGACAGTGTCGTTGTGTTTCTCGTGGATAAACGCCCCGGCTATCCCGCCAGCACCTGAGTTAATATACTGTGAGCAGACAGTCATTACTTTAGTATCCTCATGTATCTGTACTCTCATTTAAATCAGTGGACACCCAGTCAGCTGACCTTGTAGGAGCACCAGCAGGCGAAGTCGACCCCCCAGTCGTGGAGCTTCAGCTCGACGTTTCCTGCAGCGTGAGCGCAGTCAAAACCTACAAAACAGCCCTGAAACACAGAGAACATTTGATTTTAACTATTTTATATCATGCAGTGTTTTCTTTTCTATATATAATCTAACTTTGCAAAGGAACTAGTCACTAAATGCATGGCTAAATATTTTTTTTAATAAATCCAGAGGACTAAAAAAACAAATGTTCCCCCAATGTAGTGAAGCAGATGTAGAAAAAGGCATACAATGGAAATACTTAGGCACAAGTCCCTGAAAAATGATACTTAAGTATGTATTCCACAACTGATGAACATATAAGTTCAGTACAGATTCATACCTTCCTGTGTCCGGCCTCAGTGATGGCGGCCATGTTGAACAGCTGTCCGGTGTAATACTGGACTCCGCTGAACATCACCACGGCGATGGAGTCTCCCTCCTCCTCGATCCGCCGCACAATGTCCTCCGTCCTCAGGGTCTCCTCCCCCTATAGAGCAGGAAGTAGATTTGAGTTTGTGTGCAGGCAATTGACAGGATGAACAAAGTCTGTAAATAATACTAATGTGTGAAGTTTGATGCTCCAGTACCGGCCTGGGTGAAATCAGCAGCATGCTCTTCTGAGGGTCGAACCCTCGCAGTCTGATCTGAGACTCCACTGCGTACTGAGGACAGGGGGGGGGGGGGAGTTAGGGTTACATTTGGTTTGGGTGACGATCATTAATTAAGAGATGTGTTCTGTAGCAGTGACTCCATGCATTCAAGCTGTATTGAGGGAAAAGACTGCTGATTCAGATTTTAATGGATGTTAAGGGCCCCTATTCTCCTTTTTGGGGTTTTCCCCTTTCCTTTAGTGTGTTATATAGGATGTTGTGCATGTAAATGGACTTCAAGGCTAAAGTTCCCTACAGAGGGCCCCTTTAAAGCTTTTTAAACACAGTCAGCTTTATCCTTTGCTCTGGATTTAAGTCTTTTATAGAAAAGTGGAGTTTTAGTGTCACACTGTGGGACTTTGACCTCTGCAGGTTTACTCACGTGGTCTGAAGGAAAGGCTTTGTCCTCCAGGAGGATTTTATGCCGAGTCGCTGTGGGTTTGTAGAAAGAAAGCTGCAGAATAATGACAGTATTGGTGTTGAAGTGGATTCATGGATATCACATATAGGACACAGACTCAACTGGTTGACCTGCCTTCATTTAAACAACTTCTGACAATCTTTGGACAGGTGTTTATGCATATGTAATGCAAAAAGGTCTTATGGAGAATGAGTGTATGTTACCAGTAGAAGATGTAGATTAACTGTCAGGCCGTTCATCAGAGCCACCTCCTCTGTTTTAGCTCCTGAAGAAACACAGAAGGGACTGCATTTGTTATTTGTTTGCTAAGATATGTATGATAAATTCGCATAAAGAAATGATACTAATCTGGAAATCCTATGTGAGCCCACGATTTCATAAAAATCAAGTGAGGGTACACTATAGCGACACATGACAGACATTTCAATATGAACTCGTAGCAACATACAGAGAATGTTCCCTCACTGTTTTGAAGACATGTGAACTTTGCACTCTGCAAACAGTGCAGTGACCTGAAGCTGTTATTCAAAACCAGTAAGTATCTCATGTAATATAATAACAGTGCTGCAGAATGGCCAGGCTTCAATTTGCAACAATTACAGTTATGTTCTCACCAACAACATTAGCCATGAGTTCCTCTATGGTGTTTTCAGCCCAGGCCCAGGGGCGGGGGCCTAAAACGTGGCCGTGGACCCCCCTATTAAAAGAGATGTTTGAATGCAATTTCACATCAAAATATATCTTATTGAAATTATTTTTGACAAATGAGAGTTGACTCACATTTTGGCCCAGTTCTCCATTTCCTCTTCCAGATACTTCCTGGCCTTTTTGGGCTGAAGACCCAACGAGTTTCCCACCATGTAGATACACTCCTGGCTGCCTTTTACCTTAGAGAGGTCAGCTGAGAAAACATATAGAGAACAGGAAGTCTTACAAATTATTCTCAGACTTTAAAAACTGTACAACTCTTCTGCTTTTCATTTCTGAAATACAATAAATATGAAATTAGTTTTAAAAATAAGTCTTTTACTTTATTTTTTAGTGCGCATTTTTACTTTTACTTACTTACATTTATTGAAGACTAAAATGGAACAACTGTCAACCTGTTTCTTCCAGGATAATGTAAATATTTCTGATCCAATGTTGAATAAAACATGTATACAAACACAAGAAGTATATGTACACATGACCAAATATGTATATCTGTTCATTTTAATTCATTTCTTATTTTATAGTTATTTATTTGTATCTAATCCGTAATTTTATTAATCTGTGTGAATCTGTGCTGTAATGTTTTTCAATTTTACCCTGTTGCTGTTAAACTACTGAATTTCCCCACGGGGATTAATAAAGGTCGATCTTATTAAAATAAAAGTGAAATAAAATAAAAATATGTAAATATACCAGCACTTTAATGCATAACTGTTTACTCACAGGGGGGCAGGTCAGCCACGGTGGGCAGCAGGAACTCCCCCCTCAGGGCTCTCAGAGGGTCCTGTTTGTCCAGGTGAGCAGCTACCTCTGCAGAGGTGGGGCTGCAGCCCAGAGAGGAGGACACTTTCTCCACTGTTTCCCTCGGGGTTAAACCCACAAACTGGTCCATTACCACGCCTGCAGACACGGAACTCTTTAAAGTGAAGCATGGGACAAAGGGAAGCTCTGTTGGTGGTGATTGGATCGCTTTAATGAGTATAATCTGCAGAATGAAGGAGGTAAATAACTTTCTCCTGCCGCTCCTACAGTTCAGAATCACTACACTTCCGGGTTCCTGTGACATGTGACTGAAGTAGCCAATGAGAAGTTAGGAGGACTTGCACTGAGGGAAACTACAGAGGAAGACTCAGCGCTGATTTAAGAGCTGCTGTAAGTATTTTACTAATAGTCTATAGCGGTGTTAATTACAACAACCTGTACATAAATATATATATATTAGAAAATTAACTAAAGTATGTGCATACAAAATGAATCTACAATATACATGAAAACTGTCTTCTCATATATTTTATTTCACTCATTCTCTGTACTGTACATGGTATATCCAACATGCATCTGTGTACAATAATACTGTCATGCTGTTAATTAAAACCTCACATTAAATGCCATTAAAAAGTAAATATTTAATGTAATATTAAACCAGCTATCAAACAACCTGAGTTGAAATATGTCACTTAAATCCACAAATGTGCCCTCTATAATAAAAAAACCCACAAATCATCCCATTAATAAACACTGCTTTATTAAGAAATCTACTTTTTACCCCAGTTTCAGTGATTTCCTTTGACTTTTAGAGATATTTTGTTGTACAATCTTCACGTTTTCAATCTTTTTGAATGAATTGGCTCATGCATTCTCTGTTTAAATTCAACTTAAATGATACATTCATACAATACAATCATGTAAAAACACGTTTACATTTACATTGCAAATGACTTTTCTTTAGTTCTCTGAAGAGGAACGTGTGATATATGAAGCAGAAACTCACGGTTTGCAGAAGGAGGAGAGCGTCCTCTCCACACACAGATCCACTCAGAGTGCCCTCTGCTGCGGGAATGCCCTTTGACCTCTCAGTGTTCAGCATCAGGTTAATCATTGTTCTAATGAGATAACAACTCAGATTATTAACAGTCATTGTCTAAAAGCTCCTGTTCTGTATCTCTGGATCAGTCTAATTCCTGGTTTCAAAAGTGCAACAGACAGGCAAAGAGACAGTTCCCCTTTTTTCATGCTTTCACTTCCATGTGTGAAAATCCAAACACACCGTGTGATATTCCACATGTGGTAATACACATACATATGATTACATTAATGATGCATGTGGAGGGTTAAAACCTTGTAAAGCCCAAATATAGAAAAACCGTAGCACATTTTTTTTTGATTTAGTTTAAAAAAAACTTTTACTGACTTTTTTAGGATAGAAGACTGGAGGTTCTGGGTTCAATGCTTATTGATTTGTCAAGTTTTTTTCAATCAGGTTTATTACAAAGTTGGTTTACACATAAACACGGGGATTGGCAAAGGATTAGAAAAACTGAATCTAACACATACAAGAAATGTATAGCACACGTAATATGTGCAGCGTATTGAATTTAAAGTGAAATAAACATAACCCTTTATATTAGCATACCATTTTAAAGGATATGTATGGATTTGTGTTTGCAATGGATAGCCCAACGTTGGTATGCTCAGTGCCCTCTGTGCCTTACAGTAACGATGCACTAGATGGCAGCAAAGTGTTTTTGATCTGAGAGAAGAACAAAACAAGATGTCTCAATAAAATATACTTTGAAATCATAAATATTGGGAACATAAATATGATATATCAAGTCAAATGTGAAATACTTAATGAAAACATTCAAATATAGGTATGAATTGATGTTAAGTGGACTGATATTGTTTGTTGCTGTTTTTCCCACTAACTGTGTCCATATGTGCTCCTAAAAGTAAATGTTTCTCATAAATTGACTCTTTAAGCCTCTCTTGTTGTAAAAAGTAGCTGACCTCAGACATGACCTTCAGATAATCTGAAGATGAGACCTTCTGGGTCAAGCTGTTTGACCTTTGACCCACTCACCCGCCCTCTGTGTTTACAGATGCTGCATGAGTGTTTCTCCCAAAACAAATGTGAAGCGCTTTATGAAATGTCCACAAAGCTGGAAACCATAATTGAGCTTTCTCTGACATTTTCTTTTAAACCGAGTAGTTTTAGGAACATATTATTTGTAACTTATACTAGGATCGGAGTACTTCTTGCCACCTCTGGTTAAAACACATCATGTGTTTGGAGTGTTAAGAAAGGCTGACAAATGCAATCGTGTGAAAAGTGACTCATGGAAGTTTTTCAGGATATGGCTGCAAGAATGTTTGAACGTGCAAGTGCTCGCTTGTTTGTTCTCACAGTGAAGAAAGATGTGGTGACATCTGGAAGCTCTCAAGAGGCCGGACTGAACTCCCCCCTCGACGAAATTCGCCAGGAAACAACGCAACGATCAAAAAAGCAAGGCAGGCAGATAATGATAATTCACCAGCCACACAGACCACACACCAAACACCACAACACCACACGACACACACACCACACACAGCACACACCACACACACACCACACACAACGACGGACACAGACACACACCACACCACTACAGCAACACCACACAGGCACAAACACGACACCACACGACACACACACACACACACAAACACACACCCACACACACACAACAACACACACCAACACACACACACAACACCACACCACAACACACACCACACACACACACCACATCACCAACACACAGCACACACACACACACACACACACACAGGCTCTAACCAGGGAGGCTCCTTCAGGAGGTAGGTTTGGGTGATAATGCCTCTTGCCTGAAAACACGCAGCGCAGGTGTTAAGAGGGGAAACAAATGACGAGGATGAATTAAGGTTTTACTGCAGGATGACAGGGAGGGATAACAAGGAGTTTCCCTTTAATTCTACTTGCGCATTCTGTGGGTTTTTTCTAGTTCATTTTGCCACATTTGTGTTCTTATATCTGCATCGCTTCTGAAACTGCAGCACATTTGCACCTGTCGCCTTTAAGGTATTCAAAACACTGAATAAGCCCACTCTAATTGAATGTATTGAAAGGAAATGTAATATTATTCCTAAGAGAAAGCAGACATATATGTGAGGGAATGGTGCATTTAGTATCGAGCATGTATTGAGAACTTCTTCACAATAACTGAGTGGTGGCATCAATGGCTTTCTGCAGGGGGAAGTTGTTGGTTTGAACCCAGAAAAATAACATCAGGTTGAATCAGTTTAACCCTGACTGATGCACGGGGTGAATATGAAGCTTAACCTTCTCAGGTGAACGTCTGAAAGCTGCAGGCCTGAGACTTTCTCACGTCACTGGAGAGGAGTCTGAATGAGAAGGCGACGCAGAACACCTGCTGCTGCTCTCCGCTCTTTATTTAGTGGAAAGGTATTTCTCTTTAGTCTGTGCAGCACCTGATATTTACCTCTCCCCCTGCAGTCACATGGAGAGATGATGAGCTATCAGCGGTTCATATTCAGGGGTTTTTCCTAAGATTTAGAGACACAAAATTCATCATTTGCTGTACAAGTATATCGATGTTCTGCATATGTATTACAATGTGAGAAGGAAAATTAAGTAGAAACTCCTATATTGATTTTTGTGTTGTGTTATTAAGGAAGCATAATGTTTTTTGTCATTTTTATGCTATAAACTGTGTATTCTTTTCTATATGCATTTCTCTGTAAATAATGAGCATTATACGATTAATAACAATGCATAATTTGTTCCTCAATTTTCTTATTATATAAAGTCACCCATTCACATGGTAATAATTAATATCATGTGCATCCTTTTTTTCCTCATGTTCCTCTAAATTAAGGCCTGGCTTGCTCTTACTTCCACAGATGCTGACATGCTGCTAGTATACACAGTTGACTTAATTGCATGTTAGGTGCTAGTCTGGTAGCATTTTCAGGAAGGAATGCATATGGTTCAGTTATTCCTCTGCAGCTGGTACGAGAGAGACACACACACACACACACACACACACACACACACACACACACACACACACACACACACACACACACACACACACACACACACACACACACACACACACTGCTGCAAACTGAGAGGAGTTATATGTAAAGTCTGCTGCACTAAAATCCAAATGTTCTTTTTTTTTTTTTAAATGTACACGAAATTCGAAAATGTTTCAAAATGTGTCAGAAGTTTGACTTGTTGTACAGATGTGAACATGTGGCAGCATTCTCAGCAACACGTGTCTTTTAATAGCATTCATCTGATGTGATAACTTTCATTCCCCACACTTTCACGCATGGATCACGTGGTGTTATCTACGCTCAGATTTGACGCTTGTGACGCATCATTTAGTGATTTAAACGCATGTGACTGGGGGGGGGGGCACAGAGGACCCACCTATGGGAGCGGACTCCTCTGAAGTCTAGTTCCTCCTCCTTCCTCTCCTCCGGTCATCTTGCGCACTCTTCACATGGAACCCGCAGTCTGCAGAGAAAGGAGCGCAAATTGAAGCCTCTTTTCTCCAATTATCTTTAGATAAGTGCAGTTTGCGCCACTTTCGCACAGTTTCTCTCGATGGGACCCGAAGACTGAAGCTAGTGTGCCACATCTCTCTAAGCTGTAGACATGGACTGCAGCGCATTGAAGCCTGAGTCCTCTAGATATTTACGCATCGCGTTGCTGTGGATGGTGCAATTAGGAGCTTTGGCGCAACAAGGTAGGTGGCATTAACTTTGTATGGCTAATGCAAATCACGTGATTTTACCCACAAGACATAGCCTACTAATACAGAGTCTCAGAAATATGTAAACAAATGCAGGAAAAACGCATCTTGTCTGTAAAAAGGACCAAACTGCAGACTTGGACCGTGAGGCTGCATTCCTGTCAGTCTGCAGGTCCACAGGTTAGATGACCTGCAGAGACAGACAGATAGTAGGGACACTGAGACCCTTCCCTCAGAGAAACTCAAGGTTATTGCAGCTAAATGAAACACATGTGCCAGGTTCAAATCTGTCTACTTTTAATCCAAATGCATTTTCATAGTTGTAAAAGTTCCCTAATTGATGCATGCTATTCATCAGAGGTGATCCTAGACTTTCGGTGGGCCAAAGGCTAAGAAGCCCTTCCGGGCCCCATGAGGTGAAGACTACATTTCCTTCATTTCATTTTAAAGCTATAACTGTAGTTATCCAAAATCCAATGTTAAATCCCATTGGTTTTATAACGAGGGAACCATGGCAATGCTTGCTTCTGGGTTTGCCTTGTTTAGCTGACCACAATTAGGGAAATATTCAAAAATCTACAAGGAAAAGGATATACAAATAAGAGGATCCTGCTCGATAAGACATACTTTAATGTGTCTGAATGGACATTTGTTCTGGAATCGTACAAACTACATATCACGATAGAATGACATCAAAGTATTAACACGACTTATGTACTTATACACAGTTTGCACATACACATACGACTGACAATGGCAGATTTATTGCTTACCAATATGTATTTAAACCTTCAAGATCACTTTTTGTCTGTATATTGTTAATTTCTGCTAAAACAAATCACATATTGGAGAGAAAACACAAAACAGGAAGATTTACAAGACGTTTTAGGCAGAACAGCTGCGTCTAGACGAGCAACATTATATTAACTTTTTACAGGAGGTTTAACAATACAAGGATCCCTTTTACAATATTTTTCTTGGAGCCCTGAATGTTTGCCTGCTTTGGTCCTGCTAATTATCACTTCCACAAAAAAGTCTCTTAGAGAACATGTAGTCCTAAATGTTTGAAACATTATTTACTGCAGTAGACTTCATTAAAATCAGGACTATACAACAAACAGGGGGATAAGCAGACTCGTAAACACAATCCCAGAGAAGTGCTCGTAAACATGTAATTGAAACAAGATTAGACAACACAATATGACACTTGTTTCTCAATATATTTCAGTTAAGGCATCTTTTCAGAGTCCTTCTCTCTCTGACATGACAGTTAGAGCTGTTGTTATGTGCCTAAAGCTACTGTCTCTGCTCATATCCGTCTGCGGGGCGAAACATCAAAGCCCACGTCGTAAACTTTAAGAGGGGCTGTTGTAAAACCAAGCGTGTGTGTTCCTCGCGGAGCTTTGTGACAGGAATACCAGGCATTTCTGAGCCAAAACAAAGTCTTCCGCAGCGCCTGGAACTCCAGGACACACATGATGTCCAGTTGACTTCAACAATCAAACAGTGTTGGTTCAACCTGCTGAAAGAGATCTTTTTAAACTTAAGCACGTCTGAAAATGCCTTCAGCGGCTCATCAATACAAAGGGTTGCAAACAAACCTTTTTAAGTCCTGTAGACTTGAAGATCCTAAAGTTGAGTAAAATGCCAAGTGTTTCAGACTATAGTTGAAACATTTATTGATTTTACATAGCACTTTTAAAGTCTTTATGTCCTCTCAAAGCAAATTGATTTGAAATTGATACATTTTTTATTCTGAACTTGAGATAATTTGATAATATGTTTAGTTTCCCACCATAACACAGCATTATAATGGGTGATAATGTGTCTTATATCGCACTGCAGCTCCCCCTGACCTTTGACCCTGTCCTGACTGTAGTTTCTGTTTCCTGGTGAGTGACAGTCCTCTAAGAAAAGCCTCAGTTGTGTTAACACCGCGCTCTCCCGAGTTAATCTCCTTTCCTGAGAAACGGCAGAGCTCCCTGCAGAGTCCCTGCACATCTGGGCTGCTGAGGGCCCCCCTCACAGCGGGACCCCCTCCCCCGGGGGCCGCTTCATTAGCTCACACCCCCCCACACCTCTCCCCAGCTCTGTAAACTCATTAAGCCACCAATTGGAACAGTTTACTCAGCGGCAGAAGTCTCAGGGAGTGTCCTGGGTGTTTGCACAACCTGTGACCCCGAGTCTTGTCTTGCAGACGGGGAACATGCAGACGAGGTAAACACCAGGGGCTGTCAACACCAAACCCCGCCTGTAAGACTTTGTTTAGGCTTTGTAACTTCGCCCTGTCCATTCATAGCTTTGTCAGTGTCAAAACATCCTAAATACCTGGTGTGTTTGTGTTCCCTGACTTTGCTCAGCCGCCACAAAGTCAAACAGGGGAAAGGGAACAGCCTTTGTTAGGAAAAGCCCCCGACTTTGAGCCATTTCTCTTGACAGATGTGCAGCTTACAGAGTTTGCTTGAGTGGAAAACGGCATGTTCTGTTTGGTTACACGGACCTGCAGAGACAGAAAGACATCAAGGTTCTTTAAGCTAATTGAAACACGAGTCAGGTTTACATTTGGACAAGAAGATGTCAGATTACGAGAATAAAGTCATTTTTCTAGCCAGCTATCATACTTTATGCAATACATCTTTAACACAATCAATAATCAGGTCTAGAAAACACACAAAAAAGAAGCAGAAAGGGAAGATTTTGCATATTTCTTTAGAGATGTGGAGCTTTTCAGAGTGTGTTAGTGTGAAGACCTGCAGGTTCCTCTCAGATCATTCCCCCAGCAGCCTCGCGCTGCAGCTGCAGGAGGTGTTCGGAGGGCGGTCATGCGCTGTCGGCTTGATCGTCGCCTCCCGGAGTGAGGTTAGAGAGGCGAGAGGCGAGCAGGAATGTCTGTTGTTCTACGTGATTTAGATAACTGTGATGCTTCCTGCTCATCTGCTCAATGCCAGCTGACAGTTTAAAGAGAAAGTCAAACACATGACTCTGCCACCCATTCTCTGCTGCCTTTGGTAGTGAAGCTCCTCAGCAACAAATTACAGGTGTTTAAACATAATTCTGCAGGATGTAGATTGGATAAATGTGCTCAATTTAATTTTTAAATGGTTGATTTCTTTCTAAAAGGACATTCTTGAAATGATATTATAGTACATCGACCTTGGATGTAACTGTTTACCCCCAAAGAACAAACGTCCACATTCAAGTGTAATTGAGGGGGAGAAAGTTAACTCCTCCATATTTCCCTCGCAGGCTTGTGTGGCTTTTGTTTTGTCTATCTTCATCCCGTCTGTTGTCAGACCTCACACTAGGACTCAGTCAAAGATAAAGACACGACTCCGGGGGGAATCAGGGCCTGAGATACTGCAGTTTTTCATTTCCTCATGATTAAATTCACAGATCTGGAACTGAAAAAGACAAGAGGGAAAGGAGGCGATCCAAAAAGAGTTTTTTTACAGACTTAAAACACAAGACATCTGCTAAATCAGTGTGTGATTTACAAGACGTTTTAGTCAGAACAGCTGCGTCTTGACGAGCAACATTATATTAACTTTATACAGGAGGTTTAACAATACAAGGATCCCTTTTACAATATTTTTTTATCCCTTTTACCTTCCAGCTCCAGAGTGTTACCCCGGAGGTCACCGGACTCTGCGTAGCCCCTATCGCAGCGTCCACTTCGACTCCACGGAGATCCAGGACACGGCCATCCAGGATCTAATCTGCGACCACTCTCTGTCCCCGGGCTGGTACCGCTTCTGGATCAACAACAAGCCGGCGGAGATGCCCACCTCCTGCGTAGAGGTATGCACAAAAAACAGGGGCAAACAAAATGGGATTGTTCCACTTCCTGTGTCCCTACTTTGACTTCTTAATGGTGTTGTACCTGCCTGCAAGCATCCAGCATCCTGTAATAAGCACCTTCAGCCCAGGTGGAGGGTCAAATAACCTAAAGGTAATGTTTTACCTCCGGGGAATCTTCTCTGGAGTTTGTGTGTCCATCACCTGCCAGTATCGGAGACATATGATTCATTTGTTCAATATAGAGTGCTGCAGGAATAAGTCCTTATGCCATCCCTCCACCAATCTATAGATGCATTTGGATGTATTGCCTGTTTTCAGATGAACCACTGCGGCACTCAGGCTCCGGTGTGGCTGTCGCTGAAGGACGCCCCCCTGCCGCGCCCCGGCGAGCTCCGGCAGCTCTCCGCCTGCGCCACCTGGCAGTTCTTCCACGGAAGCGCCAAGGACTGCTGCCTCTTCCGCATCCCCGTCACCGTGCGCAACTGTGGGGAGTTCATGGTGTACCGCCTGCAGCCCACGCAGGGGTGCATGGGATACTGCGCCAAAGGTGAACCTGAGATAATCTGTAACAAACAAAATGGTATTATTATTAGATTACTATATTTTTGAGGCAGATACCTATATTGATTTATGATCTGATAAGGATATATACTGGCTGATATTTGTGCATCATAATAAATTAAATACATGTGATTCATGTTTCAGTTACGCCAGATTTAGGACCCCGACTCTGCCCACCAGGGGAAGTAGAAGTGAACGGCCGCTGCAGAGGTGAGAGGAATTCTATTTGTACAACTCTAAGTTAGAAAAATATGTACTTTGAAAAAGAAAACATGTGCTTTTTTTTCATTTTCAAAGCCTTTGAATCTCTTCTGTGTGTGTTCCTAGCCTCCGTCCCCTCGCTGCCGTCCCGGCCGCTGATCTCCGCGGAGCTCCTCGGCCACAGCGTGCACCTCAGGTGCTCCTTCGTGCCGCCACCGTGGAGCCGGCCGCTGGGCTTCCAGGTGGTGTGGGCGCGACACATCGGCCACAGCATGAAGGCGGAGATCCGGCAGGAGTCCACGCTGAAGCCCTTCTCTCTGGTGGAGATGGACGGCGTTCACTTCAGGCTCGGAGAAACGGTAATGCCTGCCAGACTGTGATGAGGGTTTGACCCCAGGAGTGTGTAAGCCGTGGATCATGCCGACCTCTTTCTTTCACAAAGCAAAGGCAGAGAGGCTTGTCATATCCAGTTACGAGAAGAGGAGGGCGGGACGTTAAATCAGTTGCAGGCTTCACATGCTTCACATTTAAACTTCTTCATTTAACTCTTCACAGAGAATTCTAGGGAAGTTATTTGTACACAAACAATTGCAGAAGTACATGATAAAGTTTTCTCCTCAACTCAACACTTGGATCGTAGAAAGAGCTGTTCGTAGGCTTTAATAAGCTGTTTTCAGTGTCCAGATTCCAACATCATACAGACAGGGAGTTGGAAGATGCCTGTTTTAGTTTTTTCGTGGTCAGCATCTTGCCTAAAGAGATGAAGTAATTTTTTAATCCAGGACCTAGAAGAGGAACTAAATGTTGATTTGCATCTGTTTAGACTGGAGCAGGAAAGTCTTGTGTTACTGACCAATAAGCAGAAGCTGAACTATGGCTCTCGTGAGAGGGAAACAAGGAAGACATCTGTCAGCTGTTTGAGGGTAGAAGACTTTTGTTTGCTCATTAATGAAGTTTCTTTATTTAAGGGGCCCTTTTTCAGGTTTCATAATTAAATTTAGTGTCTCTACTGTGACATGTCTACTTCTGTCCGGCTCTGCTTTGATTGGTCAACTGCTTAGCGATGACAATATGCTGCACAGCTTTAGAGCCTGAAGGCATCTAACTTCCTAGAGAACTGATCTCCTGCCAGGAATCATTAAGTGATTACATTTCTAACTTGATGCTCTGTGAGGTGATGTCACTCCTACAGCTGTGCTCAGCTGAGCTCATTCTCCATATTTGGGCACCAGGGTTGTGTTAGTTGTGTCTGGAGAGTGTTGCAGCGGTCTGCGCTCGCTCACAGATACTTTCTTTGAGACGTGTTGATGAAGAGTCCGGTTAAAGGTCATCTACATTTTTATAAACGCTCTAGTGACCAGGGGCAAAAATATGTCTTTATCTTTCCTTAAACATGTGTTATTTAATGACATGTTTTCCTGCAGTTCTCCTGCAGTGTGTCGACTTTCAGAGCTAACTCCAGCCAAAGCAGATCCACTCCAAAAGAAAGTGAGGGTTTCTATGCCGGACTGAAGGTAAACATATGTGTTTTATATTTTAAAATAACTCCAATCTACACCGTACAGCAGCAAATGGAGAAAACCTTCCCAGTTAGACTCACCAATGACTTCTTTCTCTCCAGTTTTCTCCAGAATCGCTGCACATAGTGGAGAACAGTAAAGAGCACGAGGTGACGGTGCACAGCACGGTGCCCATCCCCTGCTTCGGCCCCGACCACGGCCACCAGTGTGGGGTCCCTCTGGCTCTGAGCGTGCAGGACCCAGGTCAGACCTGCAGGGGAAAGCATCAGATATGAGAGTGCTGCATGTTGAAATGATCTAAAACCACTTACAATAAATGCAATCAACCAAGAGGGTACAGATGCAGAACAGCAAGAATCCTGCAAGTGCAGTAGCTTCAAATGATACAAACTGACCAAAAAAGAGCAACTAAAGTAGCTGTTGAGAAATTAACTACCTTTTTATCTATATCATATATTTTAGAAGGGATTGCTATCGCTGAAAGGTGCACACATCGTCACAAGCACCTTCAATTAGATCAGAGTAGGCTCCAGGACAACATGCATGAAAGCATTTCTTGTGTTTTGCTGTGACTTGCCCCGTACATCCTCACATCAGGAACATGATTACAGTGCTGCAGGCAGCTGTGCATCGTCCCTTCACACTAACTCACGGCTGTGTTGACATCCGCAGACGGACACGAGTCCCCAAACGTGGCGCTGTCGGCCTGCCAGGTGGAGCTGCGGCCCAACGCCTGTAGCGGGGGCAGCTGCGGCCGAGCCACGGTTTTAATCACCGCCGTCACCGACTTCACACGAGACGGGAACCGCCCGAGTCTGATCAGTGTCTTCCCCGGGTCCAACGCACCCCGCCTCTGGAGAAGCTATGTCCCAACGTCCCTGAAAGTGAGTATAAAATAGTATTTATTGTCAAAGATGAATTAAAAGTCATCTATAGAGGCGCTCAAAAGATCCTTAAGGGTTTTCCGGGAGCTCCAAAGTTGCGCATGGATTGAAATGTTATTTATTGATTCAAAGCCATTTCAAAATAGAATTTCAAACATTATTTTCCATGCAGACGATCCAAGAAGTCTGTATCAAAATCTGTTTAGTGGTATTTTCAAGGGATTTCAAGATATTCGTCAGAGTTTCCAGGTGTTCATGACAAAAGTTCATTTTGCGTGTATTTCATTCTTTTTTTAATTGGACAGGTTTATCAAGTACTTCAGATACTTCAGGGGCTTCAAGAGGTCTGTGAGGAGGATCCTGGAAATCTTGAAAAGGTTTTAGGGAAAAGTGGAGTCTGAGGAATGCATTTGAACGCTCGTCGTCCATTGTAGAGCTTCATAAGTGGACGTTGATTGGTTCGCAGAAACTAAAAGATACTTAAGGGGTCTTTCAGTAGCCTCCATAGTAGACTTCAGGGTCATAAAAGCGGCCTTTTTGAGAACCAGAGGTCAGTTTGGTATAATACAAATTTTAATTTGGTTCTTTGAGGTGGTTCCTGGGGGGGTATCGTGAAATTTCTAAGTGGACACAAGCGTCCAAGACTCAAAGAGTTATAATTTGCAGTTCGATATAATTACAGGTATTACTTAAATGAGAAAGACGGCTCTAATTGAAGGTCTCTCCTTCATACTGTTTACATATACACACAGTTGTAAAGTGCTTAATAAAACAGAAGGGACGGTGGGTGTTTGGGGTCCAAAGCGTACCCGTTTGATGGGCTGACATCATGTTGAAGGAGCGTTGCCGTACGCTGTCATTACGTTGTGATGTAAGCCCTGCAGACACTGTGTCTCTGAGGGTCTGCAGCGGAGCAGTTTTCCCATCTGTGTCAGAGGAAACATCAAAGCCAGAGGCAAGGGGGTCACGGCGGGGACAGTCTCTAATAATCTGTGTTCTACTGACCTCTGCCCCCAGGTCACGGTGCAGGACGTTCCCACTTCCATCTGCTACTCCCTCACTGACCCTCATGTCATCACTCTGGATGGCAGGTAATTCACCTCTTAATAAGTCATTTGCGGTCAAATGGTGATTTCAGTTTTGCATGGGAAAGGAGACAAATATCACCATGCAAATCAAACAGAAGCTTGCTAGTTTGCATATAAGTGAATTTACCTAGATAACTTAAGTATATTATCTCACTTATATATTCTTCTTTTGTCGTGTGTTGTCGTGTTCAGACGCTATGAAAACCACCAGACCGGCACCTTCACCCTCTACCGGAGCCTCGTCAGGGATTTCGAGGTGCACTCCCGTCAGTGGGACTGTGGCAGCAGACACTACGCCGTGGCCTGTAACTGTGGCGTTGTAGCGCGAGAGGGGAACGATATCGCAGTGTTCGACATGTGCAAAGGGCAGCCGCAGGAAACCAGGCCGGAGTTAACGCTGAGAAACATCGGGGACAGCGAGGGCAGCCGGGTCCGCGTGCTGGAGTCCCACCAGGGGAAGAAGGTCACCGTAGGTATCCGAACATTTTGACACTGATGGAGATTTGTGTGATAAAATCATCGCTGGCTGGATCTTTGTTTATTGGTTTACAATCATAACTTTTCACTTTCATACTCACTTTTGCTGCATGGGCAGATGTTAATGAGCTGCTGGGTGTGCCTCTCCTCTCGTAGTTGATCTTTCCCTCCGGGGCCTTTGTTAGGGCCGATGTTGGCGATTGGGGGATGAGTCTGTCTGTCCGTGCTCCCAGCGTCGACTTCGGACACACGCAGGGCCTCTGCGGCACCTTCGACCGCAACGGACACAACGACTTCCACGGATCAGACGGGGGCATCTACGGCCCCGAGGACCTGCACCGATTCATAGAGGAATGGAGGTCAGTTAATGTGCATGGTCTGCAAAGTCTAAAATCCCTGTGTTCCCTCCATACTTGGACACTCCCCACTCTTTTGTCCATTAAATGAAAAACATTTATTTCTCTTTTTCTATCTATGTTAGGATAGCTCCAGGTGAGAGTTTATTCGACAGGACGCCTGTGGGAAAAACGCAGGAAGTGAGGCGTCCGTTCTGTCAGTGTCACAAAAGATTCAGCGCTCCTCATCACGGCGACAGAGGGATCAGGAACTTGTACAATCCCTCCGCCCACTCCGACTGCATCACTTATGATGACGTGGACTACACATCCGTGTTCCCCTCCATGGACACGACAGTGGAGTACATCAAGAGTCCGGAGAGGGACGAGCGCATCCTGGACATGTCATCATTCATCAGTCTGGAGAGTAGGGGGCTGCAAGACGGAGATGAATCAGAGAGCGAGTTTAGGGAGGATTTCCTGCTCAGGACAAGGAGACATTATGAGTTCAAACCTGTGTTCGCTGCACAGAGCCTCAGCCAGGCCGACCTGGAGAGCTTTGCCTACTTCTTCCCAGAGGATCACTTAGAGGAGGCCCGAGAGGAGGTGCAGCCTCAGTGGCCCACGCCCAGCGGCCTCACTTCATCTAAAGCTCTGGAGGTGTGTCAGATGGCGCTGGGTAACTCCACAGTGGGTGCGGTGTGCCGGGGTCTGCTGGGTCGCAGGCTGGACGAGGCGGTGGATCTGTGCATGCTGGACCTGCAGCTGAAGGACGACCTGGGCTGGGAGAAGGCGCTGCTGCCGTACCTGGAGAACGAGTGCGAGAGGAGGCTGCTGGAGAACCGAACGCAGAGAGACTCGGAGGAGACGTCCACTGCGGAGGAGGTGGTGGCGGCTCTGCGATGCCCCAACTTCTGCAATGGGAACGGGGAGTGCACGGAGTGGGGCTGCCAGTGTTTCCCCAGCTTTAGCTTCTACGACTGCAGCCTGACCATCAGTGAGTGTATCAGGGTTTACAGTTAAATACCTTACGATGCTCTGTTTAAATAGTCTTGTAATGAGCTTTACACACGGTCCTTTCTCTTCTGACAGGCCAGCCGGTGGAGGTCACAGATCTGGAGAACGGAGGACTTTGTGACATCCGAGCGTTCAACTGTCGCAGCGTCCGAGTGTTCGGCCTCGGCTTCATCGACTCCCCCGACCTCAGCTGCCACGCCACCAGACTAAAGGTGAAGGGAGGTCGAAGGTCGTGCTAAGAGCCTGCAAAAAAACAAAACATTTCCTCTGACTCGTGTCTTTTTTTTTTTGCGTCCACAGTACATGAACGGAGTTTGGGTTCCCAGGGAGAAACAGAGGACGAAAGCCACCTTCCTCAACTCCAAGGCGTTAGACTGTGCTGTTCCATCTTTAAGCATCACGGCTGTAAACACAGAAGACTTCATGATGGACGACAAACCGTACGCACGCTGGGAGATTAAAGTAATGCCTCTCATCTTTTCCTATTTGTTGGTGTTTTAAGAAAACGTGTCCTGCAGCTCCTCTCTTTCTTGTCTCAGGTGACGAACGACGGCTCTCAGTACAGCCAGGCTAAAGTGCTGACCATCTACGACGGGGTGTGTCAGATCTGCGAGGCGTCGCGCTCAGGACTCTGTAAGTTAAAGGTAATTCACGTCCTGTTGGAGCTGCAGAATCTATTCTCTAAACTTGTTGATGTTAAAATGAGTAAACCAGAGACAGTGTGTTTTCCCATCCTCCTCTTTAAACATGGAGCAGCTGCTTTTTAAGCAAAGCTGCAGAAAGGTCCTGTTGTTACTGGAACTGCTTTTTATGGGAGGCAGGAAAACATGCATCCTTACAAAACAACCTGGAGTGAACTCATGTACTTAGACACTAAGAGAAATGCATGCCAGATCTGGACTAAATTGAATTAACTTGAGTTCAGATGGAGCACAGGATTTCCTGTTTTGTACCTGGCATCTCCGGAGAAAACCCACAAAAGGAAAATAAACTTAAAACACAAACAGACCTTCTTTTTTTTCAGGAGAAGACGTGTAACATCGACGGGATGTGTTTCGCAGCGGGGGTCTCCAGCCCCAGCAGCCCCTGCCTCCTCTGTGACCCTGACACCTCCAAGTTCACCTGGTCTGTCAATCAAGGTACAAACAGCTGATTGTGCATCATCCTATGCAAAACAACAACAACAATACATCATGGAAATAACCATGGATAATCAGGTCATTATTTTAATCCTTTATATGTTAGTTTATCAGCTACAATAAGTGATACAAGTATATAGCAACAAACAGGCCCCCGTAGTAATGCTTCAGTGTTCAGGGATGTTTGAGTTTTCCTCCAGGAAGTGTTTTTGACATGCAGCTCTTTAATGATGAACACCAGGGGAAACAGTATTTATCTTTACTTACCGTTTCAGTACGCTGTTCCTGTGTCAGCCGTCACACTGTGGTCCTGTTTGTCCTCATTAGCAGATCAAAGGAGCGGAGGTCTACATTTCCCAGCATGCCCTGACCTGTCGCTTAACCGCTGTGAGATAGAGGAGAGGAAAAAAATCACATGGCTGATTACCACAGCCTCATAGACTGACAGTTATCCTTACTTACACTCAACAAAACAAAGTCAATCTAATGGTCAGGAAATTTAAAAAATAAGAAGCAATTAAATAAAGTAAAGTAAGGTACAAATCAATAAGGGAATAAAGAATACAAAATTAAGAAAAATGGTAAAATCATCAAATAAAAACATTAAGCAGGTAGATTTAATGTGAAATAAGAAAGGAATATATATGATTGATAACCTTATGTTGTTGTCGTTGGTTGGTTCCAATCCCTGCAAAGCTTATGGTTCTCAAGTGTTCCTCTCCTCTGTCTTTAGTCAACGAGCCTCCATCTTTCCACCGGCCTCAGAGCGCCCTGCGGACGTTTTCCGGGGAGAACTTCGTCTTCCAGTTCGCAGCGTCGGACCCCGAGGGCTCGGCGCTCCTCTTCCAGCTGGAGGAGGGTCCTGGGGGGGGCGTCCTGTCCCCTGCAGGCCTCCTCATCTGGAGGGTCCCGTCGCTCTCTGAGGAGGAGGAGGAAGAGGAGCGTCCATCGAAGCATTCTGTCCGCTTCACGCTGTCCGACGAGTGCAACGCCCAGAGCAGCTTCTCTGTGGAGGTAGAGCAGGAGGAGGAAGAGGATATTAACACAGTAATAATGGAATAAGTGGAAGTTTAAAGACTTTTAGATAAATGTATCCCTGTCAATTTAAAGATGATATTTAATATGGCAAAAAACCTTTTACTAGGAAATAACTGACTCAAAATATATTTCTTTTTTATTTTGTTTTTAAATATTTGAATTAAATGGTGTCATGCCTAAGCAGTGTGTCTGCCTCTGTGCTGCAGATCGACGTGGTGCCGTGTGGCTGTCAGAGCGGGGGAACCTGTGTGACGGACGTTAATTTCCCAGCAGGCAGTGGGAGGTACCTGTGTGTGTGTCCTGAGGGGACGCAGGGCGACCTCTGCGAGCAGCATGAGGACGACTGTCTGTCCGACCCGTGCGCGGCGGGCACGTGCATCAACACAGAGACTGGGTACAGGTGTGAGTGTCCTTCAGGGGTGACAGGTGAGACCTTAATGAAACTCCTTTCAATGTGTGTGCATGTGCTTACAAAAACATCTATTTATGTAATACAAATATAAACAAGATAGCCAACAATATAACTGCAGACATCATTTCCTGTGTGTTTGCAGGGGTGACATGCCTGGAGGACATCGATGAGTGTGAAGAGACGCCGTGTTTCTCTGAAGTCCCGTGCTTCAACCGCTTTGGCTCCTATAGCTGCGGCCCGTGCCCCAAAGGCATGCTGGGAAATGGGACGATATGTACAGGTAAGCATGAACATCAAGTGCATAATTAATCACTTCTGAAATAACCCCTAACGGTGCAAACATACAGCATGACATTGCTCTTTCCCATAAACCTGGATCTAATTACCAGGACTTTATCAGATACTGCTTGAATGGGGCATGCATCTCATTTGTTTTGTATATTATTTACGTATACGTTGCTGTACAATCACATTGGATAAGAGCGTCTGCAGCCGTGCGTCTCTGAGGAATGCAGTTTTTTTGATGATGGAAACCAGATGGCTGTTGGGAGCTGATAGTGTGCTACCCCTCGACTCACAGCCACTGCTAACTGGAGTTAATGCTCTGAAAAACTGGACTGACACACAATGTTTGTACATGCAGGGATTTGAATTCACACAGTAAACACGTAGCTAACACTTACAGAAGTATAAGCTATAAAGCTGCTTTACTGGGACTCTGCAGGCAGACGTGTAGAAAAGCACCAATGGATGCTGCAAGGCTGCACATTTTAAATACTTTTAGACAAATGTAGAGCTTGTTTGTTGATTTAAAACAAATTAAATCTGCAAACAAGCAAACATATTTGTATGCAGGGATAAATTCTGCAAGGCTACAAAAACGTCAGACTTTTGGGTGTAATTTGGAGCTAGTGCGTGCCGGATAAATGCAGAGCTTGTGTTTTAAAAGTCCATGATAGCAGTTGCTAATCATCTCTAGATGTCGAGTGTGGCTTTCTTGCAAATGCGTTGTCCTTGAATCAGAAACTTGAAACATGGCATTTAAGCAGGAAAATATCAAAATGACATCCATGTTTCATGTCATTATCGTCCCCTAATGGAGGATTTGACTGGGAGCAAAGCACATACATTACTTTGGCATTTTTATGGCATTTTTTGACAGGTCGTTGGATTTCATCGTCCTCTTTTGTTTTACAGCTCACTCTCCAGTCATTTGATCCTCTCCAGTAAAGAGACTCTATTGGACTTATTTGACCTCCTTGGTTAGTTTTTTTCAAAGTGTGGTCCGCGGACCACTGGTGGTCCGTGAGCGCCCCCGAGTGGTCCGTGAGTATATTTGTAACATTTCACATTTTAAATACATTTAAGTTTTCCGCACGCACATGGAGCAAGCTTAACTTTCACTCTCGATTGCATGATATATCCCAGCGCAACACCTTCGTCACACATGTTGCCACTTGTTTGTACCATTTTCAGGCGATTTGTAATCTGTTCTAGAAAAACCATGTGGTTTGTTTTGGATTTCAAGAAGCGTATAAAACAAACAATGGATGTCTTTTATGAACATTTATCCATGCTGAAAGTAGATTTAGATGTGTTAGGAGTGAGATAGAGATTATTATCTAATATATGCATCTGATGAAGCATTACATGAAGTCTGTTGATGAATCAGAGGCTGTTGTTGGGGCATAAACGTTTTTGTATTTTGTTTTGTAGGCAGACCATGCAGGCAAAAAAAGTCCACGCGAGCCTAACATGTGAAAAAATGTCTTAGACCTCAGAGAGTTACACTTAGGCCTGCGACCATAGTTTTACTGTATTTTGTTTTGAAAATCCACAGTGGAGGTTTGTGTCGTAGTTTACTACATACGGTGTATTTTGTATTTCTCTCAGTAGCCAACGATCTGTGAGTCTGTTGGCTCGGACATAAACTCTGTAGTAAATGTAGTCTACATTTCATAAGAGGTGTAAAACCTGAGCATTTTAAATCACATTTGAACGAAATGCTTGTATAATCTGTAGTTGTATTTGAATTGTTGATTTCATGTGTGAACAAGGCGATATAGAGAAGGTTAAGCTGTCATTATTAGGCTGTCATTTGTTAAATACTGTTGGAGTGGTGAGCAGGCCTATTGTTTTTTGGATATTTGTGGAGTTAGGTGGTCCGCGAGTGTTTTTGTATTGGTTAAGTGGTCCTTGGTATGAAAAAGTTTGAGAAATACTAGTTTAGTGCAAAAGATGCACAACTTAATGTGTCGGGGGTCTTTCAGGGGCCAGGGGTCAGAACTTAAGCTCTTAAATCTTACATTTCCTGGATGCAAAACTGGATGTTTTTCTTTGTGGTCTCCTTTGAAATCAGTTCTGCAGGCAAAAGCACACAAGGATAAAACATGCAAAAGTTAAAATGCATGTATTTCAAGGATATACATTTATACATGTACATTTATACATTTAATCAACCTGAAAATGAGCAGGATAGGGGCCTTTAAGAGTCAAACACCAGAAGAGTTGTGTGATGATGTAATTTGCCTCTTTGGCATTAGATTTAAACAAGAAATGTGGACAATCTAACACACAATAAATCATGTTTTGTTTGTCTTGCTGCCATTCCTGCTCTCAAACCCGAGAAGTGTTTCCTGCTGCACTCTCTGCTGTAAAAATAATCTATGAGAGGTAATCATGCCTCGGTGAGATCTTTACAAAAAATCTCCTCCTGAGCGTCTGTGCTACTAAAAACAATCTTTTGACCCGTCCAGGCTATAGTTTAATATGTGGAAAATCTAGAAATGGCATTGCATTACATGGCGATCTAAAATAAATGTGTGTTTCTCTTCACACAGTCCCCAACTCGCCAACATCTGCTCCTCGTATGACCGTCCACAGAGCTTCAGATGTTCCGCTGCAGCCCAAAATAAAGACAGAAACTTTCCGGAAGACCTCAAGCTTCCCGCAGACAGCGAAGACGACACAGAGGATCAACCCAAACCCATCACAAGACAAGACCACCTCATGGAGAAGGCCTCCAGGAATTGACCTGAACCCAGCGCTCAGTCAGGCGGAAACGAACACAAGCATCTCAGCAGTCACACCAAACGTGTCCCAAACTAAAGGAGAAGCTCTGAGAAAAAGCCCAGGAATTAAATTAAACCCATCCACGGCTAACAGAGACACTTTGAAGGACGTTCCAGGAATTAAACCAGACCAAGTCGAGCCTGATCCGCCCAGAATCAGCAACACTATTCCCAAAACATCCTCTGCAGGTAAGCTGTTTTCAACAAATCCAATCATCTGTATTAACAATTACAAATGTTATAAGGTTGTAGTTGTCTACTAAGACCGATTTTATTATGTATTGAATGGCCTATGATTTTGATTACTAGATATGTATGCATGTAGTACCACCCTTGCTAGCGATTCCCTCTCTAGTTTAGCATACTCAGCCTCGTTGTCCCTGGCCCTAGAACCACGATTTTATGGGGGCCTGCTGCAAGTGACTGGAAAAAGTAAAAAAAGTTATTACATCGTTTCAGATAATAATAATAATAATAATTCATTCTATTTAGAGGCGCCTTTCAAAGCACCCAAGGAGACCTTACAATTCATAAAATATTCTAAGGAAAGGTTGAAGACAGTACAAAGAATGCAGTCCGGGTGATGTTTTTTATTTGGGGTGCAAATGAGAGGGAGCTGTCCAGAATGACGCCAAGATGTTGTTTTTGAGTTCTTTATAAGCCATTAAAACAGTAAAATACGTGTCTCCTGTTCCCCAAAACATACCCATCTGTTATGGAAAAAGAAAGTATTCTAAAAGTAACCTGAATACTTTTTTAAGACACGTAACTGTATTCAGATTTGGATTACTTTAAGAGCCATGTATTCAGTATTCAGGAACTAATTACATTTACAAAGTAACCCTCCCAACCCTGATAACATTAATGCATTATACTCCGGTTTGTGTCTCAGGATCTAGTTTGTCTCCGGTTGTGAATATATCGGCGACCTGTGCGAGCCGGCCGTGTTTCCCCGGCGTTCAGTGCATCAACCGCCGGCCGCCGCACGTCGGATACGTCTGCGGGCGCTGCCCCCCCGGACTCTACGGGAACGGACGCGTCTGCATGAAGAACGCCAAGGCAGGTGAGGAGATTTTACATTTTGCAGGTTTCAGGTCTTTAACCACTGGCAGAATCTGGTGACCTCAAACGGTTCATTTTGGCAACATTTTAAAATCACTTCCTGTCTTTCCTCAGCGTCCAACCACCTCTCCCAGCAGCAGACGCTACGCAAGACTATCCGATCCCCGCAGGGAGGAAGCAGCAAGGTGTCCCAGCTCCACCTGCCCCACCTGCCCTACAGACACACCGTCAAACACCTGTCCTGGTCCGTCACCAGAGGGAGCAGAGACAACTCACTGCAGGACCCCGCTGCAGGGAGGGGGGGCGGCACCGGGAGGAGGGAGGCGGTCACTGCAGCCCCAAGAACATCAAACCGCACAATGCATGTCACTGCAAATACTCACATCCCCCGACACAGCATCAGGGTGTATACCAGACCCAGCACCACAGCCTCCAGAGAGATAAAGGGTCAACATGTGACAACCTCAAAGGTATTTAAATTGTACTATTTTTAAATATTATCTTTAATTTCTTAGTATTTTATGTTCTTTTTTTTGTTTAAGGTGAGCCAAAGACACTAAAGATGTATGTTTCTATCTCCCTGCAGTCTGTAGGAGCACTGACTGCAGCCACGTCTCCTAAGGTAACACCTCCCGCTCCACCCCTCTCCACGCAGTCCAAACAGGTAACACACCCCCAGCTCCACCACATGGCCTCCACTCAGTCCAAACCCTGGACCCCAGCGAGACACGCCTCCCCCCTCACCGCGGCCCTCACCTCTCTGTCCTACTCCCTGTCTGAGCTGGAGTTCTCTGCTGACGGAGACGAGGCTGAGGCGAGCTTTGAGACGCTGCAGATAATCCCGGGACTCCCCTTAAGAACAGCGGGGAGGGCGGGGCACAGCTCCTCGCGGCTGGGGGTGAGGACGACGGCGAGCAAACATGTGACCACCTGTGCAGACCGGCCCTGTTTTCCTGGGGTCCAATGCCAGCCCACTGAGGAGGGGTTCCACTGTGGGAGGTGTCCTGTGGGATACACTGGAGACGGACGCTCCTGTAGAGGTAAGACATCATCTATCAATCTTCTGAAGGGCTTTGTTCACACATCATTCACAGCCTCATTCGCTCTGTAAAGACACATTTGCACATAATTACTAACCTAACACCTCCTTTACAGCTGTTTGCAGGCACACGTGTGGTAGGAACATGGAGTGTGCTGCTCCGAACACCTGCCGCTGCAAACCAGGCTACACCGGATCAGACTGTCAGACAGGTACACAGATGAATAGCTCATAAAAACATCTATTATTTCTCTCTGTTTTTACCGTTTGTTATATTTTTATTTTGCATCGTTTCTTAGCCATCTGTGAGCCGCGGTGTTTGAACGGAGGTGTGTGTGTTGCTCCGGACGTGTGTCAGTGTCTCACAGGGTTTCATGGAGAAACCTGTCAGGAAGGTAACGTTTTTCTAAGCAGTTTTATGCTTTATTTTATATGTATTTTGCCTTTTTTCCTTCCTGCTGTAACACTGTTAATGTCCCCTCTGTGGGACGAATAAAGGTTTTCTGATTTTCAATATGAGGTAGTTAATCTAAAGTGTTGTGTGCAGCTCTGTGCAGGTCTCCCTGTGAGAACGGAGGCTCCTGTGTGGGGCTGCAGACCTGCTCCTGTCCCTATGGGTTTGTGGGACCTCGCTGTGAGACCAGTGAGTGCACACTAACTCTCTTAAATATGATTTGATCTGATTTTCATTTGCATATTTTAATTAATATTCTTCTTGTTTGTAGTGGTGTGCAGCCGTCACTGTCACAACGGAGGCCGGTGTGCGTCTCCGGACAAGTGTGTGTGTCCGGCAGGCTGGACCGGGCTCTCCTGTGAGACTGGTAAGTGTGTGTGAGTGTGTGTGAGTATGTTTTGATGTGCATATTCTATACTGACCTCTTGTCTCTCTCTGCAGCTCTCTGCTCTCCCATGTGTCTCAACGGAGGAGTGTGTGTCCGTCCGAATGTCTGCGAGTGTCCTCACGGATCCTACGGTGCACAGTGTCAGAACGGTACAAATTAACTAATCAAACAATATGTTTTTTCTGCTGGTCAAGCATTTATAAAGCTTAAGTTAGGAACATAATTGATTTTGATCGCACGAGTAATCAATGTCTTGCCCATGCAGCTGTGTGCAGTCCTCCCTGTAAGAATGGAGCTGTGTGTATCAGGAACAACGTGTGCTCCTGTCTGAAGGGATACACCGGGAAGCAATGCGAAAAAAGTCAGTATAAATTCCTCCTCATCCTCTCCTTCCTGTATTGTCCTTCATCTTCAAGCCATGTCTTCCTCTCCCTCTATCTGCAGGTGTGTGTGAGCCGGTGTGTATGAACGGAGGCAGGTGTGTGGGTCCAGATCTTTGCGATTGTCCGTCAGGTTGGCGTGGAACCAGATGTGATAAACGTAAGTGATACAAGAGTGCCATCCGTACCGATACATAACTCCCTACATTTACAGCATGTTGGATCCCATAATGCATCAGTGTGAACATCTGTGTGAAGTTAATCTGTAAAAACCTTGTAGAATACACGCAAACCTACAAGTAGATCGGAAGAGATAAGGAAGATAGGATTTACCTCAAATAAAATCCATTGAGAATTCTGGACGTTTTGTCTTTTCAACTTGATTTTAGATTAGTATTTTAGAAAGTCTTATAAAATGGTGCTGTGTTTGAATGCATGTCATGTAATTCAGCGCTGATGTTTGTGACTTTTCTCTGACTTGTGCTGCTCTAATATGTGTGTGTGTGGTGTGTGTGTGTGTGTGCCTCGTGACTCCCTGCAGCCAGCTGTCTGCAGAGGTGTCTGAACGGGGGAGAGTGTGTAGGCTCAAACACCTGCCACTGCACCCGAGGGTGGCAGGGCATGCTGTGCCAGATCCGTGAGTTTCCTACATATGCCATGATAAACTTGTCTCTGATTCCCAGTGAGATATTTGTCAAGATACAATTATTTTATACTCAGATTATTTTAGTTTTCCGTGTTTTTTTCAGCCATCTGTGAATCCAAATGTCTCTACGGCAGTCGCTGCGTCCGGCCAAACGTCTGCGCCTGCAGGAGCGGATTCACCGGCTCCCTTTGCTCCAGAAGGGTAAGAAGACCTGAAAATAGAGCATACATTATTAATAAAAAGTGGCTCAGCATATGCAAAACAAGACTTGTAATCACTTAAGTTTAAAGTAACAAATACTACCTGGAAATGTTCCTCTTTTCCCGTCTTCTAGTCAGTTTTCACTCCTTAGGAATGTGATCAAAGTCAAAATCTGGTAGCATTTTCAGGAAGGAATGCATATGGTTCAGTTATTCCTCTGCAGCTGGTACGAGACACACACACACGTCAAAAGCATTCGAGGAAAACTGCAAACACGTGAAAATGCGTCCCACCTCAAGAGTTGACCCGTGACAGATGAAGATGTATTGCGGCGCTGTGAACAGTGAAATACAGTGTGCCCTGATCAAAGACAAATGGAGCGCTGTGTTTCAGCTGACATCTATCTGCCAATGTCTGGAGACATCCAGCTGCTGATCTGTCCTCTGCACCTTTTCTTAAAGTAAACTCAGTTAGCTTGTGTTAAAGTCTACACATACTTTTTCCAACCTATACTGTTAATGTTTGAACAATGATTTCAATATGGACAAGAACAAACAATAATTGGTGAGTGATAAGTACAAACAGATTGTGTTAGTTGATTATTGTAACCTAGGTGAAGATAGGATCTGTTTTAGTACACAGGGTTCACTCACTTGTTCCTGCCACCGTACATGCACACAAATCTACTTCATTTTTAAAACCCTCTTGTCTTTTCAGCTTCCTGTTTCCAGAGGTTGACCGAATGACAAGCATCAAGAATGAAACAGGAGTTCAACGAGCACATATCAAATCTTCAGGAGAAACGAAGAAACGATGAGGAAAAACCAAAGTGTTTCCTCACTGGGAAAGAAAGCAGAGTCACTTTCAGTCCTCCTGCTCCAGGCTAACGAGGCGCTGACTAGAGATCAGCAGACAGGAGATTATTACCTGGATTTGACTATTAGCGTAATAAAAAAGTGTAAAACATGCACCCTTTTCTTTTTAAGACCACACTACAGGCTTAGTTTTTCATGCACTGGTCATTTTGTTAAGTTCTTGGGCTATTTTGCTTCCAAACTAGTGAAAAAAAACATCCAATATGCATATTTTAATCGCATATCTAATTTAGTCAGCTGTTTTGTCTCCACTTAAATAGTATATTTCTTATTTTTGAGCAAATCCTACAAACATGAAGCATACATTTACAAGCAGCTATTTCCTTATAAAGTCAGGTTGATCATATTCAAGTTAGTGGGGGTATTCAGAGTTCTTGCTGTAAATGTTATCAGGATATATAAAACCTCTGTATGAGTATTTATTTATTTGGTTGTTTTATATTGTCACATATGTCCTGTGTATATCAATGTATAATCTATTCTTATTAACGCATTGTTTATTGTTTGTTTTATAAAAAAACAAATAAAGGTCCTTTAAAGGTGATGATTCTTCAGATTATTTATGCAGAAAGGAATCATTTAATGAGCATTAGTAATCTTTTAGGTTCTTTTTGTGTCTATATTTTTTTTAAATGGAGACGATTAGGTTTTGGAAAGAGTTCGAGTTTCAATTATTTTTATATTTTGACTTCAGTTTTTCAGCAGAGTTTCTTACTCGTGGGGCCAGACGAGTTCACGGGCAGAGGGTCGGAGAGGAAATGAGGATTAAGAGATTAATGAGGACGCATTAGCTCCGCACCGCCTCCTCTCTCTGACTCCTGCACTCTGACTCTGCAGATAAAGAAACGGGACATTGGACAACAGGACAACTAAAACAATTACATTTTGCAAATGTACCCAAGACTTTTGCTGCTTTTTATCTACTGTCTTAAGCTTAATTCTCATCCATCGAACATATTTACAATAAAAGGACTACAATACACTACTGTTAGAATCAACCATGATAGCAAGTTATCAAAACATAATTTATTAATATAGGACCCTAGGCAAATATGAGATAATAAATAACCTTTGACCCTAAGAAATGATCAAATAGTTTATGTTGTATTTGCTTAGGCTGAAAATGTTAAAAAAAACTTTGTGGACATTTCTGGATGTTTACTGCCCTCTGGTGGCCTTATTACAAACATAAAACTAAATAATATAAATAACAATAATGGGGATAATATTACAAATAATAATACAATTCAAATATATGATTAAATATTTAAAAAAATATGAATGTTTACAAATCTGCACAGAATTGCAGATACGACTTAGATTGACCCTTACCTTTAACAGAAACACAGAGACAGAGACATACACACTCACAGAAACACACACAGCAGGCATCGTCAGTCCACATGATATTTATATCCACCCCCAAAGATGGCACTGGGCAAGGTGGTGTTGTGGGGGGGGGGGGGGGAGTGTGTCCATCCTGGTGGGCACAGACAGGACGGTCCACCTGCACTGTTCACTCAGTGCACGCTCTGCAGCACTAGCCTGGACACACACACACACACACACACACACACACACACACACACACACACACACACACACACACACACACACACACACACACACACACACACACACACACACACACACACACACACACACACACACACACACACACACACACACACACACACACACACACACACACACACACACACACACACACACACACACACACACACACAATTAATGACCCTTTAGTTCATCTGAGCTGAGAGGAAGTTAAAAAAGTGATGAAATATGTGTGTAAATATTCTGAATTTTCTTGCAGTTTTAGACTAAATATTAAAGTATTAAGCATTAAAACATGTTTCAGACAGAGGTATAAGAATGCAGATATTTTACTTATGCATTAAAATAGTCCTACATTATTGTTATGCTGAATGCAGATTTCAGAATAATATGTATGTGTATATTATAAAATGGGATTATAATGAGGATGAATTTGAATAATAAGAGCAAAAGTCAAAAGTGTAATATTTCTCTGAGGTATAAAGTATCCTTAATGAAAGTAAAGTATAACTCAAAATGTTACTTCAATACAGCACTTGAGTTAATGTACTTTTTTATTTTCCCCACTTGTTTTAGAGATATAAAAAGTATAATATATAATAATTCTCAAGTTTTCCTGTTCAATCAGATGTTTTTAATGTATGTACTAACTCTAAAGAATGAAACAAAAATAATCAAAACAAATATGATATTGAAAATTAAAATGACTAATACCCCTTACCATAATCTTAGTGCCATTTTTGTTTAAGTGAAAGACATGATGTTTGAAAGCTGGAGCTGGATATTTACTTTAACTGTGTTTTAGCAAATGGCCTTTGATTACATTTGGGCCAATGTTGTGTAGTAGGCTAAATGATCCATTAGGGTGTACATAATAAAACATGGCTGAATAATGTGTTGTAAAACACCGGATAGAGGCTAACATTTCATTGTTTTTGACCTGAAATTGGCCTTGAATGCAGCCAAATGAATGCAGCCTAATTTAAACGGTACACCACAACAGGTGCCCCCTCCTCCCCCCTTTAGGCTCCACCTGTCCTCCCTTCTCCGTAGCGCGCTGGCGACCCAGAAAGCAGCCGTCATTCATCAGCTGTGGTATGCCGATACGCCTGGGGGCCGGAGCGCGGCGCAGAACCCCTCTGGTCACCGGATCGGCGGCAGCTGCTCGGCCCCGGAGCTATTTTCACCCTGAGGATAAAGTGATGTGCAGCGCGGCCCCGGAGGCTCCAGTCAGAGAGGAGCAGCGAGGAGCACAGAGAGGATGAAGTCCACAGGCAACGCGCAGACCGACGGCTTCACCTCCGACCTGGAGGACCTGGACAGCGGCAGCGACAGCTCGGACGGGAAGTCCACCGGAGACTGCAGCCCGCGCAGGGACCCGGGTGAGGGGGAGGCCGGTGACCGGAGACGGAGAAGGCGGAGGCGCAGCAGCAGCAGCAGCGGTGGCGGGGGAGACGGGTGTCTCGCCGGGGTGAGCAAACAGAGGCAGGCGGCCAACGCGCGGGAGCGGGACCGGACGCACAGCGTGAACACGGCCTTCACTTCGCTGCGCACGCTCATCCCCACAGAGCCCGCCGAAAGGAAGCTCTCCAAGATCGAGACGCTGCGCCTGGCCTCGAGCTACATCTCGCACCTGACCAACGTGCTGCTGCTGGGGGAGGACTGCGGGGACGGGCAGCCCTGCCTCGGATACCCGAGCATCCTGCACGGCGGCGCCGCCTCCCTGAGGCCCATCTGCACTTTCTGCCTCAGCAACCAGAGGAAGCTGGTGAGCGGAACCTCGCACAGGTTATACCAGGGTCAAATGTTAAAAAAAAAAACGTTTTCTGCAGCCAGAATTTGATGCGTAAAAGTTCTGATATTACACGTCAGTCCATACAACAGAGGATGAATATCTATTGATTAAGTAAAAGTAGCAATAACAACTTGTAGAAATACTCAAGAAAAAGTCCTGCCTTCAAAACAAGTATTGGAAAAACATACTTGTACCAAAAGGAAAATAGCTTGTTGTGCGTAATGGCCATTTTTTGGGATCATATAAATTAAATGACTATTATTATTATTATTATTATTATTATTGATGATGGATTCAAGTGTTCATCACAGCTGGTAAAGGTGGAGTTGATTTAAATTACTTCATATACTGCTGCTGAAAACCTATATGTAGAATTATATGACTAGTTTATTTATTAGTTTATATATTTTAATAGTTAATGTTACTAAAGCTGTCAGATAAATGTAGTGAGTAAAAAGTGTAAAGTTAAAATCTGCCTGTTTATTGGAAATATATCTTCATGTGGTTCAGAGGAGATTTGGTTTGACCCTAAGCGGCACCTGTTGCTGAAGTGATTGACAACACAAAATGAAAACAAGCCATGGTGCCTTCAAAGGTTTAAAATAAGAGTCAAGGCTTTACTCAGTTACACTGCACCCTCTGCTCTAAACTCATAAAGACAAGTCTTTCAGGTAACGAATCTGGCACACTATCAAGAGTAATGGATTATAGAAGGCAGCACACTTTCTGATTATTGATGAATTTGTGATTTCTATTTATAAAGACAGAAAGAGCTTTTGGATTTGTATCCCGAGTGCTTTAGATGCGAAATTAAGCCCCAATATGGACTAAAATAAAGGCTCAGGAAAATGGAAAACAACTTATCTTAAGTACTCAAAATGTAAATGTACTTTACATAAACAAATCTGGTAATTTATGTCCTATAAACATGTGGGTGAAGTTCAGTGTTTTGGCTGGTCACCTTGCAGTTATAAAAACCTGCAGGCACTACAGCTCCAAATAACAATTATTTCATTATCTTCATTATAAATTAAGTATTTGACGAAGGTTATTTTGGTATTTTTGCTGGCAATTTGCACTTATTGTCTCGTTAAGTCTTAAAATGTTCCTTTTCTTAAAGAGATATTTAGATAGTTGGAGGTGTTATTTTACATCTTGTTTACCTGGCATTAGTTAAATTATAAGTTATTTTAGTACCAATAGTAAGTTATAAATAAATAACCGAAAACCAAAAATCAATATGATTAATGTCATGGTGCTTTCACTTAACTGTGTTCTCGTGGTAAAAATGTGCGTTTCTTTGTCTCCACAGCTCAGAGATGGAGGGAAACACTCGGCGTCAGTGTGAAGCGGGCACACCTCCACCTGGATGTTGTTCACACATCTGTAGGACTTTGTACATATATAAATAATAATACATTTATTTTTGGATAAGCCTTGAGAAACAAATTAACACTGAAAAGCACTTTCTGCTCACGCTGGTTGGTGTGCCTCTGAATCTGTGTTTTGGTTGTAACCTGAGCCCATGTGTAAAGTTGCACCTGACGGAGGGGGGGTATTTTGGTCCCTCGAATAGTACTAACCCCCCACACACACCAACACCTAAAAAAAAACATCTCCGCCTTCAGTCACATGCAGAAACTGAAGAGCAGCGACTGCCGCTGTCAGTTCTGCTAACACCGCCTTCAAGGAGGATCAGAAAATATTTCAATTATTCAGGGTGTCTTTAACTCTAGTGGTGAAGGTAGGAACTGCATCAACACTGAAATCTTGTATCACATGCACTATAAAATAAATACATTACCACCTAACCACCTTCATAAAAAATACGAGACTTCCTAATTCCTAATCTGAAAAAGAGAATCCCCAAATGAATGGACAATGTTTAATATGTTGTGCACCTGTCATGTTTTGGCCTGAAATCAAGAGAAGTCTTCCGATAAATATTTATATTGTTGAAATGTTTACTTACCATTGTTGCACAGTCACTTTAAAAACACACAGCTGTGATGTTCTGTGTTCACATGGCATGCAAAGAGCATCAGGTTGCACTAATCTGGAGAAAACATAAATATATAAGTAAAGTGGATCCCTGGAGCACACATGGTGAACAGGTTGCACTCTACCTCAGAGCTGTGTTTAAACACAAAGGCCTACCTCTCAATCAAATGTGTCACATGACTACCAGAATGCACTTTGCACATCAAATACTGACTTGAAGAGACATTTATTTTTGTACAACACAAATAAAAATGAGAATAATATCAACTGTCCTCGTGCATTGTCTGCTGTTTCCTGACGTGTGTGGAGGCAATTCAATATAAAGTATTCCAGTCTAAATACAAACATGATGAAGCTTAAAGGAGACCATTTCAATCATCTTTATTTTCATAAAAAAGTCAGATTAAAGGAAGTAGAAACCAATAGTAATGAGTTGGCTGCCGGGCGTATGGACACGCGGTACAGGGGTTCCCAAAAGTCGAGAGAGGAGCCGAAACATGGGAGGGGATTATAAAAATAAAAATACTAAACATTGGCAAAATTAGTTTTTGTCCGCCTTGAATATCGATAACTCACGTTTTTCTGATTCACACGAGCAGCAGCGATCGATCACATGGAATGTTGTGTATCCTAATTAAACAAGGAGGTACGATAATAAAACAGAGAACATCTGGGAAGTATTCATCGTTTTACCGCTTCCACTGTGAGCCGCTACGTGTTAAAGGACAGAGCCCTTTTTCAGGTTTAGTTTGAATAATCTTTACATTATTCTTTTTAGAGGTGGAAGGGTGTGTGTGTGTGTGTGTGTGTGTGTGTGTGTGTGTGTGTGTGTGTGTGTGTGTGTGTTTTAGGGTTAAAATAGTAACAGGAGGTAGAAGAGGAACAACTACATTCTTCGGCTCCTGCTGCTACTTATAAAAAAAGTTAAAAAGCGAAGAAGCTCATCTGGCGGTGGAGGAGTTAGTCCGTCTCCTCTCCGTCCGACTCAGACTCTGCAGAGAGGAAATACTGGATTAGTCAATCAAATATTTGAAAACATACAAAAGCTCACTCTCAGGATTCATATGGGTTCAAAGAGGACTCTTAAACACTGATTTTCGTCCTTGGCAAACTTTCTCCCGTGCTGTAACACAGATCAGTGCCTCAGGCTGAATGAGGGTGTGTGTGCGTTTTTATTTACCTTCCTCAGCATTTTTCAGCCACTCGACGAATTTCTTCATCTGCTCGAGGAAGACGCTCTTCCCCTTGGCAACGTGGGCATCGGTGTACCACTTCAGTATGGCTTCTTCACTCAATACATCCGCTGTGAGGAGGAAGGCGAGAGTTTGAGAGCTTGCAAACAATACATTCAACATACATTTAAAGTACTTTAGCAAAAGATCACTTTAAAAAGGACATTTAGACTTATTTTTAAGCAAATTGTGTTTTGTTTTTTAGAAAAGGGGCATTGTAATTCAGGGTTACAAAGGCTTAAGAAAAGTTAGATTTAAATGACATGTCACTTGCTCGACGCTTTTATCCAAAGCGACTTACATACATTCAATACTGTGGGCAATCCCCACAGGAGCAGTTTGGGGTGAAGTGTCTCAGGGACACAACGACATGCTGACTGCAGTGGGGTTTGAACCTGTGACCCCCTGATACTAACACATACGCACAACCCACTGCGCCACACGCAGCCGTAAACACAACTCTGAACGCAATTTAGGACTAATACTACGCAGAATTTCTCTGATACCTGAGCATCATGACATCAATGCGAGAGGCTTTTGGTCAAAATAATCAGATAACGTGATGTTTAAACTTATCTAACACTACAAGAAAGGGAACGCCACAAAACGCACAAAAGTCCCATTTTGATCATCAGAAACCCTTTTACGGTCAATTAAAATGTAAAACAATGACCTGAAGAAGTGAACAGACTTTCATTAAACCCCGAAAATAAATGTGAGTTATTGGAGGCGACAGTGACCTTTGTAGAGGAGCACCACGATCTTCTGGAAGGCCTTCATGAAGTGGATGTTGTCGTAGCAGTACTCCTGGATCTTCAGCAGCAGGCTGATCTCAGACAGACCCTGGGAGGTGAAGGCTTTCAGCAGCAGGCTGTATTGCTGCAGGAACATGAAGCAAGGTCAGAATGTAAGAACAGCTTTGCTTTCTGGGGCGGAGGTGGAGATGCACTCCTCGAGCACTCTCAGGAGTTATGTGTGTTTTTAAAAGTGTGTTGGTGCATTACAGCGTATTGATTTACAGCAGGAGGAAGCTTAATGGGTTGCTGTTCACACTGCTGCAGATTTATTTCAGTTTGTTCTCGTCTCGAGCTACTTTAACGCCTTCCACCAACAGTACAAATTACACTTCTTGGAATTTCACTGTTTCTCAGCGCTGAGATATACCACTTCAGGGCAAACCGCCTACGCTACTGTTTAGAGCCAATTCAAGGTGCATTTAAGCTTCACCTCACAGCAGGGTTTCATAGCATGTATATACACTTTACATACAGTATGATGGTTGCTGCATTTTCTCGATTATGTTTCTTTCAGACAGCAGCTACAGAAGGGTGACAAATCCAAGGAAAACATGATCAAAGTTTCATGTTTCAAGTATTTACAGTACCAATGAGAACCCTGCATAAATATGCCAACCCACATTAAAAACATACCAACTTTTAGGTCAAACTAAATACTTAATAGGCATTTTATGCACATTCAAATAAAATACAATGTCAATAGATGCACACAGCATTAGACAACTTTGTTTCACAGCACTGAATAACGTTTTTAGACTTACAGGAACTTGCAGTCACTGTGGCAAGGTTTACAACATATTGCCCAACGCATGACATCATATTAGTGTTGTATTTATAAACTGTATTCAATGCATTTTTAACTGTTTCCAGTACATGCATTTTAACAATTGAAGGTTTGCATACCTTCAATTGTTTGATGGCTTGTTCGGTCACCAGCTCCTCCTTCTTGTTCCACTCCACGCAGCTCATCACGCTGGTCCAGATGATGTTGATCATGGCCTGCTCCGAGTGGTTGGCCCTGTTCATCTCCTCTCTGGCGAAGACGATAATCTGAACACACGGCGAGAGAAAATCAGTCATGAAACAACACAACCGCAGGTGGAAAATAAAGGAACGTTTCCACAGGGTTTAGAGATAATTATTGAATATTTAGTATGTTGTTTAGTTTCCAAATGATGGACTCTGATAACACGGACAAACAGCTCATTTGTTATGAACTCCATGACTCATGGTGGCACCACCTTTGTTAGTTTTCTATGTATTCATTGGCCGTTTCTCAATGTCGAGTAAAGCTGCTGCAGAGCCACTATTTCAAGTATACTACGTCATCGAGTGGCGCCGAATACTGGGCATTCAAACAGTCCTTCGGAGCCACTCGATGACGTAGTATACTTGAAATAGTGGCTCTGCAGCAGCTTTACTCGACATTGAGAAACGGCCATTGTTTTAAGGGTGGGGGTGTTACGGCTGTATGTATTCCCCGTTTCTTTTTCCCTTTGGTTCCTCTACCCAGGTGTGCTGCATTGCTGTAACGAGGTTCAGACGAGCTGCACCTGGAGAAGGAAGTCCTTAAAAGCTCCAGTGCAGCAGAAGAGAGGCCTCTGGTGGGGACTGCTGTGTTTCTGCCATCTAGGATGTGTAGTTGAACACGTCACATCCTATGGGTTTGATGATTTTAAAAGGTGTCTTGTGTGTCCTATCTGGGTCAGTGGTGGAATGTTGTTATCCCCATAGGGCCATTTTAAGGATGGGGCGTAACAGTGATGTTCAGAAGTTACTGCTAATGCGTCAGACACAGACACAAAGCATGAAACATGGAAAAAGTGACAATGAGGAGAACAGTCAAAGCTGCTACAAAACGATTATGACAATTACCAGAATTACACCACAGCTTTTTACTGCAGAGATTGGGGTTCTTTTTTAAATCGCTTTAAATTCAGCCTTAGACTAATGAGAAAGTTGTTCACTTTAACAATAATGACTATTCACCTCCTTCTGAGGGTCTCCGCGGGCAATCTGCTCCTGGAGCTCCTTCTGCAGCTCCTTGCGGGCACCGATGGATTCCTGGTTACGGGCGAAGTCAGCAAGCTCCGTCAGCCCGGCGTCGGTGAAGTACTTAGAAAAATGCTCGCAGCTCCGTTTGTTGGCAGGAAAGAGTTCCTGAGGGGAGGAGATGGTTTAGGTTAGAGTTGATGCACACACAAAATTGGACTTGACACTTAACAGATAGATGGTTTTCCAGCCATCTTTGATTAAACAGTTGATTTACCATCAGCCTGTTGTCCATGCCCACTTTGCGGAGAGAGCCGGCCACAGAGTTGATGTCCTTTTCGTTAATCCATGACTTGAACAGCTTAACGGCGAAGGCTGCAGATACTCCTAAAAAAAGACACGAGTGGTTTCTGTTTTACAAAGCGGACTGAAAAGCCAGTATTATTCAATGGGGTGTTATTAGCATGAACGTTTGAAGAAACATTCAAAGCTCTTGAACAAAACCCTCTTTCTCACTCATTTCTGAGTATTTCTGCTGACCTTCTTTGACGATGTTCTCGTTGTAGAGGCTGTTAAGGATTGAGGCTGATATGTTTCCTTTGGCCAGCAGGATGCCGGTCAGCATGGCCAGTTTGTTGCGCTCAGACTCAGTGAACCCTTTAAGAAACAGCAGCAACTGCAGAGGACCCAAAGAAAAAACAAATACAGGGTTGTCCTGTTGCGTTCTGTAACGACTGCAGGCCAATTCATGCCGTTTACAAGCCTGCATGTGTGGCTTTTGTATTTGATTGTTTTGCACCTGGAGAACAATCCGTGTGAAAGTGTGTCGATGCTTGTTTTCTTACATAACTAAGACAACAGAAATGGCATTACATCTAGACATAAACAGTTTTCTTAATACAAAATGAACACTGTACTTGAACCTACTGCACACTAAGATTACAATACTCCAATCTCAGAGAAATGTCTCACCTTCTTGATCTCCTCTTCGAAACCCTTCTCCAGGTACTTGTAACGCCGGATCAGCTTGTTAAAAACCTGTTTGAGGTGGAAAAAAGCCAAAAGGTTCACGCAGCGCTTAAACAATTGCATGATATCAAATATCATTTGCAAATCAATGGAGGATGATTTTAACAAATCACTTGTAAACAGTTAAACACAGTCATTGGTGTGCCTTTTACCTGAGCATATGCCTGCATGGTCTCCAGGTCTTCTTGTGCCGTGAAGAGGCAGAACTCAGTGCGGGTCATGTCGTCGGAGAGAGACCCGCCTGGGGCTGAACGAGAGGAAATAGAAAAAGTAGAAATTGGAGTCAAAATAGGAGCTTACTGCTGTATAAACATCTATTGTCTTCTTTCTGTCTGCATCACATTAAATCAAGGATTTTATTTTGCTTTCAACTGCATCTTAACACCTACTACACAAGCAAAACAAATGTGTTTGCTTACAGGTGATTTTTACCCTTGCAAGTATTTTTTACCCTTGCAAGCATTTTCAAGCCCAAATCCACAATTTAAAAAGATGGTGCTGAGTTTGAACCACTTCTGGCAGAAAACACAAACTTCATTGAATACATTTCCTGATTAAATCGGTTTTTTTAATAGAAATGTCAGCTTTCAAAAACAAAGCATATCTAAATAACATTTCTAAGCATTTCTTAGCACAACTCACCCAGCATGCCGCCAGCCACCAGGATGTCAAAGAGCGTCTCAGCATACCGGCGGTAGTCAAGCTTGGCGCCAGAGGCATCCAGGAATTTTGCGACTGCTTCCAAATCAGAGCCAGATTGATTCAAGCCTTGTACGATACTTTCTTGAAACTGAGTAGGGTCAAATCTCTCCTTTTCATCTGTTGAAAGACGACACAGATGTTGCATTTAGAAAAAAAACTTCAGGTTAACTGTTACATTTGTAGAGCAGCAACAATGAAGACAAACCTCTTTTCCTCGTTTTGAACCGCTGGCCTGTTAGCGTCGGCTTTTGCTGCTTTTGATTACTCATAAAAGACGACCTGAAACGGGACAGACAGTTAATGTTATCTGAAGCTCTGCAGAGTACACGAACTTACAGTGCCGGTTCACAATGCTTCCTTTAATTATGTGTTGCGTTTCCAGCACTTGGGTGTAACTTGGGTGAGCTCCATGGCTTTGTAAAAGTATTCTTACACAACACATAAAGTTTTTACAACAACACTTGGTATACTACAGAACAAAGCTGATGATATGGACTAAATGATCACAAGAAATGAGAAAAACCTTAGAAACTCCAGTAAAAATAAATTTATAAAAATAATAAACACATCCAAGAGCCACACATGTCTCTTGATTAACCAAATATACATTACTAGGTATGTAGACAAACATATTGGTTCAAAAACTATCATGCATGGATGTTTTGGGAAGTTTCTGAACCGTCTATATAAATTAAACGACACATTAACATTGAAGATCTGAGGCTATAATAGAGGGATAAGGAAGTTAGAAAGTATTGGGGTACATTTTTAACAAGGGATGCATTTGAAAAGATAAAAACCTAGTATAAAGTCAGCTTGATTTGATATGAGTGTTTTTAACAATGCAGGGATGGGCATGCATGTCCCCTATGCATTGTATTGGTCTAAGATCATCGTAAAACTACATTTAAAATGCTATATTAAAGTGATTTCGTGTATCAATCACTAATACAATACTGAAAAATATGTAAAAACCCCATTGTCACCTGTGCAAAATAACAAGAGGAAGATGTAATGGATACCCATAAAGAGACAAAAGACAATACGGGGAGCTGATGGGTGTAGCAAGCTGTAGTTAATGAGATTAAAGCGTTAACCATGCGCCAGAAGTGTCACCCTTTATTAGACATATTTTTGGTGATATTAAAAGGGTAATAAGTTAAGTTTTGGCTTGAGTATAACAAGAAATGATCCAAAATACAAGTATCTAAATCTAGGTTAGCATCGGCTAACTTTGGCCATACTCAAGCCCCTAAAGTGAAGTGCGCCGGCCGTTGAAGACAATTTGTGGAATGACAGAAGTGGCCAAACGGTGGTACTACAGCCTCAGTGACGTCATTTTGCCTTTCTCCCGTTGAGTTACATAGGGAAAGAGGAGTCTGTACATCACCGTATACTTATTTTGAACTAAATAAACAACACAGAACCAACACTTGTATAGCCCTTATTTAAATCATTAGGGTCTAAAAGTTGTCAAGTGCGCTTAAGTTAAATCCAGAGTTATTTTCTGTCTCCCTTCATTTGACTGAGTCGAGAGAGGGAGGTGCCCATGCTCTGAAAGCAAAAAGACCCGGATGTTACGGTACATTTTGGGCTTCATGCGCCACTGAGCAACTCTCATAGGAATGAACGGTGTATCCAATTCTCTTTTGACATCCATGGCCTCACCATGCGCCGAGGCTGCGCTTCCTAGCCCGGCCTGCTAATCACATTTGTTAAAATTGCAATTAACCAATGCGTTCACACTTAAAAACAACAATATGTGCATAACAGCCATTAAAGGTGACTTCCAGTCGAAATGTCACAACTCATTTTGCAATCATATTAACACAAGCTTAGCTGACAGGTTTGTGAGCTAATTGAGGCTAACGCTAAGCTAGCTTGCTGAGGTGAAGACATTTGCCTTAAAGCAGCACGCATGATGGTAACATAACCAGAAAAAAATACTTATTTTACACTGTATATTCCGACATAATAGAGTCTTTACGATAAGGTTAAGGTGCAAGAAAACGGTGGGAAAGTGGAAATACAAAAACTCACCGAAAGTAATGCAGATAAATAACTGTTGTTAACCAGGAGAATCAAACTAATGTCGACTCGCGGCGGCTCAAACAGAAAGAGCTCTTCGTCAGGGCCTCGGGGGCTCCACCCACTGCGCATGCGCCATTTAAAGGGGCTTTCCGTTGTTGTGCCGACATATGCATGCACCTCTATATTTATTTGTTGTTCTTTTCATCTTTTCCTTTTACTATCTCTGTAAAGCGACTTTGAGCACCTGTATCAGTGAGCCATTCGGTGTGACACAGTTAGATGTTCCCTGGCCTATGTGACATTTTCACCTCAGGTTTAATTAGAGAGATGTTGCTTGTTTGAAGATTTGGAAGTTGTGTGAGTGTATGGCCAGAGGGCAGGACCTATAAACACATTTACTACCCAATAGCAGTGTGAGGCTAAACAAAAGGAACTTTTGACTATGTCAATATAGTTAAAAAAAAAAAAAACAACACTTACTGACTTTTTTAGGATAGCTTAAACAGATGTTGTAAAATAAGAACCGGGGGCCTTACAGTAACGTTGCACTAGATGGCAGCAAAGTGTTTTTGATCTGAGAGAAGAACAAAACAAGATATCTCAATAAAATATACTTTGACCCGAAGACTGAAGCTATAGTGTGCAACATCTCTCGCAGGATTTAAAAAACAAAACCAGCGTTGCCAAATAATGCATCCACCTATTAAGTTCCTTTACATACACTGTAGGATTAAACAATTTTACCAGCTGATATGTTGTACTGTTTTGAAGTGGGCGTTACATTATTTTTTTCACATTTCAAAACCTCATCTTAGAATAACAGTTTAGTAAAGCTCTCTGAAATGCTTAAAAACACAGCGAAAAGAACACAAGAGAATTCACCCTGAGAAATAATAATTATCAAACAAACCTTGCAAACTTAGACCAATCACATAAAGGAAATGCTACTAAAATAAAATATGAATGACTCTTAATGTTCATAAACTATAGACTTCAGATTATTTATCACCATTGATGAACCAAAAAGAAAAGTTTTCGCTTGAAGCTGTGCGCGCTCCCGCGAGGTGCATGCATATCTCGGCATGACACCGTTCCATGGAAATAACAAATACATACTTCATATTCATTTTAAAATGTACAAGTATTACATCAACATTTTCATTTGATCAATTCAACCAGTTTATTTTACAAATATTGAGTCACATCTATATCACTTGTTTTATATTAGAGCCAATCTAGAAGTGCTTCTGTGTCCCTTTCTGATTTTTCTAGACATGAAGTTTCAGCTGTCTTTACCAGATAGGCTGATCTGTTTTAGCAATAGTTTTACTCACTTAATTTACTTTTTTGATGAAAGGTTAAAAAGAAAACAATACAGATATTTGTTTGTATCAGTCATAAAACGTTTGTGGAATACCACTGAATAATAAAGAGGAAACACAGATCATTTGTTGATTTTAACATTGTGCTTAATTATGTATTCTTCTATTGAAATAGTGATACTGGAGGATGAGAGCAAGGGCAAACAAATTGCAATAACAATGTAACAATTAAATTAGACACGTTTCATTGGTTGGTTCTAAAGAACAGAGAAGGTTTATAGATCATTGAGTATAACTGTGTTACTTCATTATTGTTTGTTGCATTCATGCACTGCTTTAGTATTCACATACAAAGATTGACAGGTTGAGTTTCAGATGTTTAAGGCCCATGGTGTGAAAGATCCTGGTTTGCTGGCTGGAATCTGAGAACAAAATAAAACACAAACCAACAAATATCACCACTGGAGAATGCTAAATGTAAAATCTCTGGAATTTGACACCATGGCAGAATAACATTTTGAAATCAAATAAAATCAATGACAGAATAGCAGACCTTAAATCAGGGGTGGGGAACCTCCGGCCCCCGGGCCGTATATGGCTCGCGAGACAATTTGGGACGGCCCTCGAGGTAATTTATAAACTCACGCAAAAAAGAAAAAAATTAGAGAAATCTAGACCGCAAACAAATTAAACAAGCGAGTGCCTGTTTTTCCTAGCCAAGGTCAGGGTCCTTGAACACAACACGAGCCTAACGTGTCATCACGTGGTATATGTCTCGTCTGACAGGGGTGCAGTTCTGACGGAGAGCACCAGAACACCACTCGCCACTTCCACAAATTGCAGTAGGCTACCCATAAGGAGCCGTACATATGCAGCAGTTTTTGCGTGGCTGTGTCTTAGTTGTAAACTCAGTGGCGATCTGTTCATCTGTCATACTGTCAATAACTTTGTTGTTATTAGCATCTGGTTAGCTAGCTATGCTAACGAATATAAGAAGCTTTTTCTCCAACCAGTGAGGTAAAGGCACATCTTTATATGATCATTATAGTTATAAAACAAATAAGAGAATAAAGTAAACGGGTATAAAATACTATATGACAGTAAAAAAAAGTTGTTATTAATAAAGAAGAATACAGTTTGAAAGGAGAGTGATTTGTAAAATATCCATAAAGAAAAAATAAATCTGCTTCCAGTTCTGTTTCATATGGGTGTTGAGAGATGTATCCATAGATCTCTTAATGTTGCTCTCAAAGTGCACCAGATTGATGCTTTCCACTTCAACATTTAAAAAAAAATCTTCCCAGGGGAGCATGCCCTCGGACCCCCCTAGAGGAGGTTAGGTGTCCCCCCCTCACTTAAATCATGTTCACATGGATAGGAAACTAAATACATTTGCATTCATCTTGTGTCCATATCTTTATGTTTTGGTGGTCATGCCACAACCGTGCACGTGCATGCATGCGCGAGTCATGGTAAGATATCTGAATTAAGAGGTTGTTTTTTCTTTGCACAGCATGAAAGAAAGGCCAAATGAATGGGCTGTGATTTTAGTATTTTTAAGCAGAGGTCAATAACTTGTACGGCCCTCGGAAGATATTGTAAAAATTGAAATGGACCTTGAGAGGAAAAAGGTTCCCCACCCCTGCCTTAAATGAATACCTGCTATTGGAGAAATCACAGTAAATTAGGCAGGTACAATGTAAAACAAACACTTCAACTGATCTCAACCACTGCAGTTTCTGTGTAGAAACACCCATATTTCTGCAGTTTTTACCTTCCGAGTCAATGGGGAGGCGCAGGCGAGGCAGATCCTCTCCGGAGTCGCAGGGCTGTTTAGAGAAAACGGGCCAAATAACCCGGAGTCAGAGCGAGCTGCAGACACGGCGTCTTTGATGGCGAAGAACGCAGTGCTGCCCAGGAAGAGGACAGGCTCTCCAATACCCTGCAGAACCAAACACCAGGAACATTTATTGTCTTATTAATTGACACACATCAGAGAAGCGAGAAAAAGTCAAGAAAAAACCACAGGACTATTATTTCTCGTCAACAATGCAAAATAAATATTGAACCTTTGAGGAGTAGATGGCGTGGGGGTTGTCGGAGTTCGACAGCAAGTAGACGTTGAAGTGAAGCGGCACGTCGCACACCCCCGGGATCTTATACTGAGACGGACCGCGAGTGTACAGGAGCCCGGCGGGGGAGAAATTCAGCTCCTCCAGAGTGAACAGACCCAGACCCTGCATGAAGGCTCCTTCAATCTAAGGAGAGGAGAGAGGAGACAGGAAAGGAAGGGAGAAAGAGACAAAAGATAAGATGTTAAACAGTAAAGAAAAAGGGGGAAATGGAGATAAAAATACAAATAAAAGAAACGAGTAAACTCGAGTAAACTCTGAAGAGCATCTGTTCCTAGTTATCCTAATTATGTTGCATTTAAATCAGCCACTCACTTGGCCGATGTCAATTGACGGGTTCACACTTTTCCCGGTGTCCGCCACAATGTCTGTCCTTACCGTCTGCAGGATAAAAAGAACCAACGTTATTTATTTATTATGCAGATTCATCTCTTAAAAAATAAAACATGTCCTGACCCTGTAGTCTCCTGTGAGGCAGTCCAGCTCCACCTCACAGCAACACACTCCGAAGGTGAAGTAAGCGTATGGCTGCCCCTCCATCTTCTCCCAGTCCATGTACAGGTCCGGTCCTCTGAGGACAGGGATGTGTTACTGTCACTTCATAAATAAATATTAAAGGAGACCTATCATGCTATATTTGAATAATATATTGTAGGGCGATACCTATATAAAAGGTATATTTTATTATACGTTTTCTTTTTCAAAATACCAAACAGATCATGCATTTTAGCTAGGGATGCTCCAATCGATCGGTCACCGATCGAGATCGGCCGATACACACTCTCTACCGATCGATCGGTGCTCTCTAAACATGCCGATCGCGAGAGCCGATCGCATGACGTAAAATACATGACACTTTTCTCTGTGTGCGGCAAAACAAGCTCGCCAAAATGGCTTCACCGGTCTGGCATTATTTTAAGGTGTCCGAAAAAGACAGTAAAATAGCGGAATGCAACGTGTGTGTGAAGCAGAAATCCTGCAGCTCCGCCCGCCGGACCGGTGAGCGGAACCAAACACAAAAGAGTTAGACCTAACACACTTAGCTATTTTATCTACCTCTGGAACAAGCTAAAGAGATAGGGAGAGAGGGGGGAGAGAGAGAGGGAGAGAGAAAAAGAGAGCGCTTCCGCTCATTTCTCCCGTGTTATTATCCAAAGTGAATGTAAACTTGAATAATGTACTTCATTTGAATGTAATAATTAAGTTGATTGTTGTTTGTGGAAGCTCCAGTGAATGAGCCCCATTAACTGAGTTTTAAACATCACTTTAAATGGAAGATTTGAAGTTTAAATCTTCCATTTAGGCCCCGCCCACTCGATCGGATCGGCGATCGGTATCGGCCGATACTGATTCCAGCGATCGGCGATCGGTCCCGAAATTGGCGATCGGAGCATCCCTAATTTTAGCCATGCCTCATTTCGCTCTATTTTGCTTTCCTCCACCCCTGTCTTTGCATGAGCTGCAGCTGACCACGCCCCCCTGCAAAGGAGGGGGCCGAGTTACGATAGTCATGTTACCATGCTGTTACCATGCCATGGCAACCTCTCATTCCCCTGATTGGTGGAGAGTTGGCCATATAGGCGGAGCTCCTCGTCACTGACGTCAGACTATTTTCAAATCTGTATCAGATCCGTTAAAGCCCCGTTTTTAGAGATTTTGGGTATGGAGGAAAAGAGAGAGGGTTGTGTTTTC